AAACCGGCGAAAAGGCGGCCGCTTTCGCGGCCGCCCAAAATGCTCCGAAATCGCGGCCGTGCCATGCTGTTTCGCTGTTCTGATTTTGGGCGCGTTTTTTGCGCGCCCCTTTTTGGGCGCCCCAAATCGCCAGAAACTAAGGCGGCGGGCGCCTCAGAAGGGCGCCCCTTTTGCCGGCTCCCCTGCGTCGTTTTATCAAGCGGGAACCGATAGTTTTCGACCGGGCTTGTTTGTTGGCACAGCTCCGGCCGCTTGATAATTGAAATTTTTTTTTGTGCAAAAAGCCCTCCGGCCGCTTGAAAACTGCCGGTCGTTTTGCTGGCTGGGTGGCAAAAAAACTCCCTGGTTAGAACCGTTCGGTGACCTCACTACATATAAGCCTGTTTGGGGTGTGAGATATTAGAGCTGCTAAAATAGCATGACAAAAGCAGTCTTCTCTGCTCAAACAGCATGACAAATTGGATTTCCATGCTGCCAAAATTTGTCATGCGCCACTTGCAAACTGGGCTCCAGCTCGTATCGCTTTTTTGCATTACAGATCTTATTTCAACTTTGACGATTTCGATCCTGACACTCCCATAATCCACGAGACTAGGATCCTCAAACCCGTGCCGGTTCATCAGGTGAAGGTACGTATTGCAGTGAAAAATGCCCCTACCCCCAAAGTTGCAATAATTTGTGATGCGAAGTTTCCAAATGAAAACTTTTTGTCATGCATGAAAGGACCGCGACCGACTAGGAGTGTTTTGATGCAGAGTCTAGACGTAAACGAATATCGCATCGCTTGCATGACAAGCGCCGCTCTTGCTGGGATCTTTTGCAATACAAATTTTTGCTATTCACGATCGAAAATCTGTGATACTGATTGATGCAAGAGGGCGAATGTTTCATTTGGAAAGGTTTGCAATGCAAATGCTCCTAAGTTTGGGGGTGGCAGCATTTTTCATTGTAATAGTACGTGGATCTTGTCTTGTACACGTCGCCATGGTCCTTGATTTTGGTTTTGGTGCTCGGTAAAATCAGTTTGCAGCGAGTTGTCTCTGGAGCATGGTTATGAACTGCAAAAGTATCGCACAACTCGTAGTAATTGTTATTGTTGTAAAAATCATGCATATACAAATCTTTTTCTTTAAGCTAAATCAGCATTACAAATTTCATTTCTCACGCTGAGAAAATTTGTAATGCATTTATACGACGAGTGCGAAGATGCTTTTGCAATGCATAATGGTTCGCTGTGGGAGTGCAAGATACGCCACTCGCCGACCTCACGTTCGGGTTAAAGTCGGCGAAGTGTATCCCGCGGTAGGTGGTCATCCCCGCACTAAAATCGCCTACTATGCATTGCAAAAGTATCGTACTAGTATAAATTGCATTACAAATTGACTTAGCATTACAAATGAAATTTGTAATGCTGATTTACCTTGAAAAAGAAATTTGTAATGCATAAATGCAATTGCTACGAGTACGATACTTTTGCACAGGATACCTAGTCGGCCAAACCCAAACCCGTAGTCGTGTACATGGTCATGGTTGCGCGGGTTGAACTTTTTCAAGAAGCAGCGAAACCATTTGGGAAAGACGGCGTCGAGGACCCCGTCACGTGCAAAATCCCTGTTATCCCCATACTTGTGGATGTATCCTGTGCAAAAGTATCGTACTCGTAGTAATTGCAGTCATGCATTACAATTTTTTTTCTGAATCTAAATCCGCATTACAAATTTTATTTCTGATGCTGAGCAAATTTGTAATGCATTTATACGAGTACGATACTTTTGCAGTTCATAGGATGTAGGTCCAATGGGTGCACTCCGGGTGCTCCGTGCAGGCCTGCCGGCACTGCTCGATGTTCTCCGCATACTGCCCATATTTGGTGTTTATAAACTGCTTCGTGTTTGTGACGGCCTCAAGACCCCCAAACCACAACTGCTGTGACCCGGGGCGATCCGTCACCCACTTCTGATGCGCATACTCGACGCCGAACTTCACCCACTCGCACAGGCCCCGCTGGATGCGCACCAGCTCCTTGTTGCGCTGCCGCGCGTCCACTTGATCCTGCATCGTATGGAAGCGTCAGAATTGAAATCGTCAAAGTTGAAATAGAAATAGTTTGTCATGCATAAAATACAAGGCATGCAACGCCTGTCTTGCCGGGATGGCAAGCGAGGCCGACTGTCAGCCTGTTTGGGAGTAGCATGACAAAAGCAGCCGTCTGTGCCCAAACAGCATGACAAATTGGATTCCGGTGCTCGGAAAATTTGTCATGCACCGCTTGGAAATTCGGCTTGCAACTGTTATCGATTTTATGCATGTGCAAGTTATTTCAACTTTGACGATTTCAATCCTGACGCCTCCATACATCGGCCGCCCGGCGTACGCCTTGTACAGTTCTTTCTTTAGGTCGTACAGCGCGTCTATGAACTGCAAAAATGTCTGGGTCTGGAAGATTCTGAACTTGTGATGCTGCATTTGGATGCTAAAAAAATCTGTATTGCATGAGCAGCAAGAGGAGTCAAAAAATTTGGCTACGCGTAGAGGGCATTTGTCATGCAGGATGTGCATCGATAGGCGCTCAGAAAATCTGTGATGCTATGGCATAAGTACATCACAGACATCATGGATGGATCATGGAAAATGTGCATGACAAACTTCTCCTCTTCCAGACCCAGACATTTTTACATTTGATAGCGTTCTTTTCCTCTTCCTCCCCCATTTCCAGGATACGGCGTGCCACCCTCCGCTGCACTTGCTCGCGGAACAAGCTGGCTCGCGCAAAGTGAATAGGTGTTCTCGTCTATCACAATGAAAAATGCCCCCACGAGGACCCCAGAACTTGGGAGCATTTGTATTGTAAGCCATGCAAAATGAAACGCTCGCCCTCTTGCATCTATCAGCGTCACAGATCATTATATAATCGTGAATAGCAAAAGTTTGTACTATTGCAAAAGATCTCAGCTTCAGCAAGCGCGGCGCTTGTCATGCAAGCGATGCCGTGCACGCCTAGAGCTAGACTCTGCATCAGAAACAGAAAGATTCCTACAACTAACTCCTTTCATGCATGACAAAAACTTTTCATTTGGAAACTTCGCATCACAAGTTATTGCAACTTTGGGGGTGGCGGGGGCACTTTTTAATGCAATATCGTCAACAGATGCGCTGCGTCGGCCCAAGTGGGTTCTTCCCCCTTCACAAGGTATGGATTGCAAATATGTCTGGATCTGGAAGATTGCAGCTCGTGTCTGGTTGGTTGGTTGGTTGGGTAGCGCCTGTGGCCGGCGCAGGTCCCGCCCTCCATCGAGCCGGAACACAAGGCCTCACTGGCGCAATCGATCGACGAAGCCCTTTCTAGCCAGGTCACAGCCATCCGGCTGCCCTGGAGTCAATCGCGGGCCAGGCAAGGTCTAGGAGCTACGAATTAGATACATGACAAACCTGGCATCAATCTTCTAGACCCAGACATATTTCTTGCATTTGGTACCAGGTAATCATCGACGATATCTTTCTCGAAATAGTCGCCCCCTTTACTCTTGTGAACCGTTGCCCGGAGAGTCTCACTGGCAGCCGCATCCTCGGGAACAAAATGTTCTACTTGTGCCGAACCAGCAGTGTCGCGTTCTTCTTGTTCTTCTTCTTCATCATCACCCCGGGTCGGTGAAGAAGAAAAAAATGTGCTAGGAGGTGGCGCAACATCATAATTACTAGGTGTAGTAGAAGTTCCTCCTGCTCCATTATGCATTGCAAATATGTCTGGGTCTGGAATAATGCAACTTGTGATGCGCATTTCATAACACATAAAAGTCTCTCATGCATAGGCAGCAAAAGCTGCCCACTTTTTGTCACCAAAGTGGGGCATTTGTCATGCGGATTCGGCATTGCGGAAGCTTCTCGAAACCTGTGATGCTAGAGCTTCCATGCCGGACCCTCTGTGTCATGCAAAACCCGCATGACTCTTCCAGACCCAGACATTTTTACATTTGATATCCATTTTGTCTGGAATCGGATTTGGCCATGGCAGCCGCGCCGTCGTAGCTTTGGTCCGCTTATGCATTGCAAAAGTATCCTATCGTACTAGTACAAATTGCATTACAAATTAGCTTAGCATGCCAGACGGAATTTGTTATGCGGATTTGCCTTAAGAATCGGATTTGTAATGCATGCCTACCATTACTAATACTACGAGTACGATACTTTTGCAATGCATACCGCTTCTTCCTCGACGACGTCCTCTACGGCCACTCGTGCTTCTCGTATCGCAAGAGAAAACTGTTTCGCTGTTAACCTGTGATGCAGAAAATGGAACACAGAACTATTTGCCTTGCTACACCTGCATAGAGCATTGGAGTTCCAACCGTGTTTTTCTCTATGGGAAAAACGCGCATGGCAAATTTTCTGTGTCATGTGTAAACAAACTTGTGATGCGTTTCTTGCAAAATCATCACAGTGAAACAGTTTTTTCGTGGGATATCTCGTCCCTCTTGTGTAAAAGACTCAAAGCGCAGATCGTGCCCAGGAGCAGTGCTCTGCGCCTGCCCTGGATGCGGGGTTGCACTCAACATCGTTAATATCTCGTCCTCCCCGTCCTCCGCCTGAACATCTTCACGACCCTGATGTGCTGTGCCTTCTGTTGCTTCTAGTTGTTCTTGAACAAGCCGGGACCGGGACGTCGTGTCCAAAGCGAATGCTGCAAGGTGAAGGCCGAGGCTGATGCTGAAGCAGCTGTAATATGAGCGGCCGTCCGGAGGTGCTGGTGCTGGACGAGGTGTTGTGTGCATGATGACCGTGGAACTACCAGCGTGGTCCTGCTCGTGCTGGTCATCAATTCTAATGCCTTGTTGCTCCGGTGCGACGACGACCACGGAACAAGAAATCAGAACCGAGACGAGCATATCAAATGTAAAAATGTCTGGGTCTGGAAACTTGTGATGCTGGGTGGCGTCTCATGATGAGGCCACAAGTGCTGGCTCAACATGACAAGTTTCTGAGCTTCTAGGTGTTGCCTATTCTGCATGACAAACTGCGTTTCTGCATCACAGAAAAACGGAGCTCTTGGGTAACGTGCATGACAGATTTAACAGTCATGCCAGACAAGCATGACAAACATGAATTCTTCCCGACCCAGACATTTTTACATTTGATAGAGCACGTAGAAGGTGAAAAACGCAACTGCGCACGCCCCGACGAGGAGAAGGAGCAGACGGTAGTAATCATAGAAGATAACCTCCTGCGCACGCGGCCGTCGACGTCCACCACCTCGTCCTGGCAGTACATGATAAGCGGCAGGAGCACAAGAACTTCTTCTAGAGGTCTTCTTACACAACTGCAAGGGCCGTGGGGCCACGGGAGCGGGTGACGCAAGACGACCGCCGCGAAGAAGTTCTTCTCGTGGACGACGTTGTCGGAGCTTCAAGACGGGGAAGAACAAAGGAGGAGCAAGTCGTCGCTTGTAGATGTTGAACAAATCATGTTGACAGCGCAAGAAGTCGTGAAAGTAGAAGTTCTTTCCTCGACCACCTGCGGCGCCACGACCCTGTTCAAGTCGGTCATCAGGATCATCAAACTGACCAATCAGATGCTTATTCTTTCTAAACAGCCGCATGAAGAAATTGTAGACCACGCCGGTGCACGAGCAGCTGTGCGGCATTTTATTCATTTTCCACCGTCGTGATGATGGACATGGCCGAGATTGTGATTCTCGCGTCATCTTCGATCCTTCTGAAGAAAAGCGCGCTTCTTCGTTCTCCAGGAGAAGCCACCTGGAGATCATCATCATCGTCCCATTTTATATTTGACGGCGAAGATGAAAGCGACGATCGTGGAACGACGACGTGTTGCCATGTTTCTACATCTCGCGGCGGTGATGTTGACGATCAATCATGTACTTGCCCTCTTACGATTACAAACGCGCCGGGGGTTTTTGTTCCACCTCTCCTCCAGGTCGTGGCGTGCCGGAAATGTCAAATCAATGCACAGAATCGAAGTAGAAGTCCTCGGTCTGCCCATCGTACTATACGATTAACAAAGAAGGTATTAATATCTCCTGCTTGGAGTGTCTTCCTGCTGGCTCATGAGGTCATGCTACATGATCGGCCCGGGGTTTCCAGCAGTGGGGCATGAAGACCATGACTGAGATGCGGCGAAGTACACGTCCTAAAGACCACCACGTGGGGAGTGTTTTTGCTTTATCAAAGAAGTGCGCCGTGCTGGTTGATATGTACTTATGAATGTGCAGAAAGATCACATCAGAAGTAGACCAGCTCCTATTATGCACAACATATTTATACTCACCGATTCATGGTCTTCATGATCATGATCGCATCAACGTGTAAAGGAGCAGATCAAGAACTTGATGTCACTTCCCGCACGGAAGACTTCGCATCTACATGGCGATTGCGAAATAAAGAACGCCGACAAGAACTACACCGTCACACGCTGCCGCGCCGGCAGCTCTGTATTTTTTCTCAGATCATGTCGTGTGCACTTGCAAGCACACGCCTGATGCTCAAGTTCACCGAAACAGGTGTGCCTGTCGCAGTGGCATATCTTCAGCAGGCCGCGGATTCGATGGCGTTGTATTCATGTTGCGGCCTACTTTGCACAAGGCCAGAACAAAAAATGTCAATTGTGGCATTTCATCGGAACGCGAAAGCGTCAAGGAGGTGCCAGAAGATTTTTGTCTGCGCTACCAATCCCACGAGTTGGGTGAAGTCTTCCTCGACGTTTGGCCTGATTTTGCAAAACTTCCAAAGCGGCTCGGAAAATGAGTTCAAAGGCTGAACGAAGAATAGTTTTATTCTATAATCAAAGCTAAGGCGTGGTCGTGCGAAAACTGCGTCTTTATAGTTCCAGGCCCAAATCCAAAATTTTCTGTCGGCATTAACTGTATTCTTGTCTCAAGAAAAGTATGTTAAACAAAATCTTAATCTTCCTTGTGAAGACAAGCATCTCGACTACAACACAAGTGCACCATCGACGCAAACTGCCTGCACGACCTCTAACACCCCACCAGCTCACAAAGACGAGTAGCCCTTCCAGACGTCGTAGCCCCAGGGAAACTGATCCCGCAGCGTGATTTTCCGCCACGCGAAAGGCTCCTTCAGCTCGTGCTGAAACTGCACAACTCGCTGGGAGACTTTGAAAATTTTCCAGACAATGAAGCAATGCAGCGCAATCAACAGCAACCACACCAAAACCCGCAGGACCAAGCGGTTCCCGAACGTGCACAGCTCGCGGTGCTGCTTCCAGTATATGGCGTTCTCAATTGTTACATTCTCAACTGTCACATGAGTTTGTAATGCAAGAAAGGGAAGAGTGAAAAGGGGAAAGCTGCAACTGTAGCATTACAAATTCCGCACAGATTTAGGCGCGGTCTAGCCCTTCGCAGATTTGTCATGCGGAGCAGCTTGATCGTGAGGATGATGATGGTATTTTTGCATGACAAATTTATGTAACAGTTGAGAATGTAACCGTAACGTTTGAGAGCCCCATACAGTAGAATACGCGGTTCGGAATGGTGCTGTTTGGGTCGGCGCTTATGCGTTGCAAAAGTTGATGTGCCGTGCATGCCGCGCCTGCTCCTGCAGAATTTGCATCACAATTTTTTTCAAGAAGCCACAGAGTAGAACTCGAATTTGTAAAATGCTTTTTCCCGCCTAAGAGAATCGAGGTCTGTCATGCAATATTGTGACAACCAATACGGCCGCCCGTACGATCAAACTTTTGATGCAATGGATAGCGTTGCGGATATCCAGCGCACTGTTCGCCTCTACTCCTCCCGAAGACGACGAGGTGGCCCCCGGATTAGTTAGACCTGCGAAGGGGGTCGGGTTCTCGAAAAAGGAACTTCCGTTGTTCCCTTGAGGTGTTACTCCAGCTCCTGCTGCTGGTTGGTAGTTGTTCCGTGGTTTAAAAACATGAGGCCCTCGGTCGGCCTGCTTCGTGTTCGGCAGCCTCGGTCGGAGAATGGAGAGCTGCGAGATGGCAGAAGTTGAAGAGGACTCAAAATGCGCGACCACAGGTTGAGGCTCCTTCTCTCGAATTGGCAAAATATTAAACTTCGGTTGTAATTGTTCTTCAGAAAAGCCATTTTCACTCGTCAATATCCGGATGCCCCTGGCTCCGTCGCACGGCATCAGGTAGTAGTTTATGAATTGCAAAAGTATCGCACTCGTATAAATGCATCACAAATTCCCTCAGCATGAGAAATAAAATTTGCAATGCGGATTTACCTTAGGAATAGGAAAAGGATTTGCAATGCAAGACTTGCATTTATACGAGTACGATACTTTTGCACAGGATATTGTTCTGCTCCACGACATCCTTCTCGTGGTCCTCCAGCTCTTTCTGCTCCTTCTCGAGCCAATTCTGCAGCGCCAATTGGTACTCCTCTGACGAAGATGCTGCATCTTTTGGCCCTGGTGAACTACTGTTGATCGCTGTGTTGCAGGTGTCGTCGTTCTCTTTTGGGGCCGCGACAGCGTTTTTTCTGTTGTTGGCGTCAAGCAACGGTTTGCTGGCGGCCAACGTTTCGCTTTCGTCGTCCTCGACATGGTTCTCTAATTGTGGTCCTTCGGCATTGATGTCAACTAGAGCAGCTGGCCGCGTTCTACTTGTGGCAAATTGTTCCGGCGCTACATTTCGCTGGTTCATCATCTTCGCATTCAATGATCCCTGTTCGTCCCATGAAGTAGAAGATCCTTCGCAGGAGCTGCTGCCCTTCACGTTGATATAAAACGATGGCAATGGAAACAGTTTGTTCGGGTCCGCTAAAGATTTTTCGATCACTTGCTGGCTCAATTCTTCGTCCTTCTTGATTTTCACGGAAAATGTCCGTTTCACCCCAAGCCACGCGAGGTAGGTCACGAGCAACCAAAGGACGAGTGCGCCGCCGCACTTCCACAGCGTCTCCGGGAAGTGGTGGTACATCAGAAGTTCCCAGCGCTCAAACTTGATTTTGTTGTACAGCTCCTTCCCCGTGTTGTCCACCACAACCTCGCCGGACTCGATGCCTGGCATTTACAAATTTTTAGATAGAACATGTATCATAAAATTTGACTAGAACCCTAAATCCCTAAAACCCTGAAACCCATCGCCGCTGCGTTCCGGGACGGTAGGCGGGAAGAAGATGTTTCGTCGCTGGAGCGGTGGGTGGTCGGGACAGCGGCCGCGGCGGACGACATATGATGGTCCTATACCTAAACCTAAACCTAGACCGAGATCGATGTGTCCGGATGAGGACACGCAAAAGAAAAACTGCTTGGTGCCAGTTGGGCCCGGGGGAAAGGAAAAAGGGGGGCAGCAGAGTAAGCGAATTATGAAGCCATTTGTAAAAAAGCGCTATCAAAAAGCCTTTGCTCTGATCCGTCCGGGTGTGCACTCCCATCTGGTTCTAAAGCTTCAGCAGTGCTGAGAGCGCTCCGACCCTAAACCTCAAGACGGATGTCAAGAGATCTACGTACGTATGCGCACGAGCAAGGTAGGAACTGCGTCATGAGCAAGGCAGGTAGATAGAACATGTATCATAAAAATAAATCGATATTTGAGTGCACCTGCACACCACATCTTATTTGAAGACTTTGAGCTGTAAGTTCTTATCATGCACGATCCCAACCAAGAACTACACAACGTCATGATAACTGTACCTCTTTTCTCCTCCAGCAATTCGGTGCAAGGCTCGACTTCTTGTGTATGCACTGGCTCACGGGAAAGCGGGTGTCGGGGGTCACTTGCTAAGGATTGGAGCAAATACTCGCGCTCAAAGCAATCCAGTACCCGACTGCCCTTCGGTTTCACCGGGTCCTCCATGATGTCGAGGGCTGTAGTATTTGTTGTCTTATTGTTCATCTGCGATCACAAAGAACAAAGTTCCAGCACGACAGCAACAACATTTTCGTTTTTCCTGTCCGTCTCGGGCCGGCAAAAACAAAAAGTACATCAAAAAACTGCACACCGCCATCAACTCCGGCTCGAAAAAAATGAAAACACTTTCCTGTCTAAAATCATATACAAATCGAGCAAAGCCAGCTGGGTCTTCCCTCACGGAACCCCTGCCCCCTCTCCGCCAGCTCCCAGTACTCCTTGGCCGAAATCCCACCCGGAAAATTCTTGTAGTTGGCGTTGTCTCCGTTTTCGTCCGTGGACGAAGGGTCCACAAGCGGGTTCAATAGCTCCCCGGGATGCAACACGGCACCGGGGGTGGCAGCGGCTTCTTGGTTCTCGTTGTCCGTTGGATCGCCGTTCATCCCAGTTGCATCATCGTCTCCATTTACACCGGCGTTTACAGCTAAACCCACCCCCCGAGTCGCGGGGGAGGGAGCTTTAGGTGACTGGCCGTCACTTGTTCCACTTGCGCCTGCTCCGGGTGAGGAAGCTGTTGCCGAGGGTAGAGTCGGATTGTTCATAGCGGAGGACTGACCACCATTATTCGCACCAGCTGCCCCGGCTGCAGCTGCAGCACCAGGCGCCGGGACTTCTTGTTGTTGCCCATTATTGTTGTTAGCGTTTCCCCCACCGTTGCGAAAAAGTCGGTTGAAAAACCCTCTGAAATTGAAACCATTACCGCCGTCGTTAGTACCATTATTCCCAGCATTCGGATTGTCATTCGCATTCGCTGCACCAGCCGCACCTCCTGCTGGCGCCCCCGGGAGGATCGGGCCGCCGACTGCGGGAGCAAACGACGGCATCCCCGGGCCCGGGGGAATTATCACCGTAGTCCCGAGAAAATCCTCGTCCTCGGAAAGATCAACAGCGGGGGCGGCGGGGGGAGAAGTACTCTGTGGTGTTCCGGAGGGATGTCCCGATCCGTTTGCTGCCTGATTTTCCTCGCCGCTCGAGCTGGATGAGGCAGTAGAATCTGAACTGTCACTTCCCTCCCCCGCACCATCTCCTGCATTGTTCGACGATAAAGATCCTTGCCCAGACGAACTACCACCAACGGAGGATAAAACCTGGCCCACGGACATCAATCCAGAAGGAGATGAGGCGCTAGTACCACCAATGGCGACCCCTCCTGCTCCTGCACCTCCTGCAGAGCCTGATCCACCTCCTGCGCTGCCCCGTTGCAGACCACTTCCTGAAGAGGTGGATCCTCCCTGTCCTCCTGCGCCGGATGTTGAATGTTGCCCACCTGTCAAATCGTCAACGAACCCCGGCATTTCGTTGATGTACCATCCAACTACAAAACTACTGTGTTAGTGTAACTTAAACTTTACTCTTGGGGTGACAGCATGATCACAAGTTTGCTCTGCATCAGAGAGAAAACCTGTCATGGATGGCTAGTACGTGACGAAATAAAACACATTAGAAAATAAAGAGGTCTGCTGGCATGATTTGCAAGTGTACGAACTCTGTTGCATTTATTACTTCCGCGTTTTTACAGAAACAGTAACAGACTTGTTAGACTAACACAGTTTTTATCTTGCACATGTACGGCGGCTTTTTCAAAACCAATTCCACAAACTTCTTCGGATCGCGCAATACCGGGGCGCTGTTGTATTTTTCGATCAAATCCGTGTGAATTGCGCTCGGCGGAGGAATGAAGAAACCATCCCTATTTTGGTCCTGCGGCACCCAAAGTCCCGGGGGATAATTCTCGGTTTTTTCGTCAAAATTATCCTGCAGCGCCTCGGCGCTGTAGTTAATCCAATTGTTCAGAACTTCGTCTTTGTTCAGGACAGAAATGGGCGAAACGCGTCGCTTCCAGCCGACCGGGACGGTACCGCACCGCTGCGAGTTTCGGCGAGCAGTAGAAGTGATGGGGGAAGAGGAAATAGCCTCAGGAAGCGGCCAGGCAGAAGTGAGCCTGTTATGATGTTATCGATTTTTTCGCGATAGTACAGTAACGCAGGCATGGGAAATAAGTTCCACGTGGTCCTCCTCCTCCCACACGACAAAAAAAATACTTGACTCTTTTATCTTTTGCATCTTTACGCAGCTTCATAGTACCCGTGGTCCTCCACATTTTTTTGTTCCGCAGACAGCGACGAAGCCCCCGACGAAGCACCTCTCACACTCGGACCGCCAAGTCGTATGCTCCGCAAAAGTATCGTGCCCGTTATACTAACAATTTTCAATCATGCATGGCAGATGTGTTTATTTGCGACGCGATTTCGCATGCTGAGTTCCGTTCCAGATTCTCGTCTGACGAAATTCGAAAATAAAATTGTCATGCATCATACAACCAATAGGAGCGACGTCGACGAGAGCGAGACTTTTCCAATCAATGCATACGCCTGTACGCCTGTTGATACGCGCGCCGGGAAACGATGCGGGACCGGGTGTCGGCAAACGTGTAGGGACATTTGTGGCCGTAGATGTAGCTCACGTCGTTCTTGGTGTAGGGGACGGCGCGCAACACTGGGCAAGTGATCTCCTTCAGCACCGTCCTCGCCGTGGTGCCGGGTCGGAGGATGTGGTCTCTAGGGCCGCTGTTGGCGGAGGACGTGTTGTTCTGGTTCTGCGGATTGGATGAGCTGCTGCTGGAAAGAAAAGCAGTGGCTGCACTGGGTGTCGCTGATAGTACGAAGAGGAGGAGCTGCCTGCTCCTTTGTCTGTTGTTCAAGAGACGAGCAGATACAGTTCGTACACGACCTGGTGGCCCTCGTTGTTGTACCCGTTCGACGGGCCACATCTTGGGTGAACAAGTTGTTCCTGGGTATCGAGGAACACGTGCAATAATTGTTGGCATGCCTACGGCAAAACGCAAAGGGAGATCTTCATTTTATTCTCACGGCGTGCATGATGGTTTTGTCTCTCTACTGTAGTGGCTTTAGTTTGTCAGGGTGATGAAAATGATCCTCGTTTATGCTCCTAGCATTTAGCACTGAATAAAGATGACAATAAGACGAGACACGGCGTTGATCAGGAAGTTGACGCTTTCGGAAATCCTCCATCATTGCATTTCGAAAAAGGTGCAACATGAAAAATAAAATTTCGCAACGCGTAGCATGATCCTAAACGCAAAAGGATCTGAATGACGAGCTCCCTCCTGCGGGCAAAAAAATAGGACGTGTTTTCCGTAGCGCTATGTATCGTCGTTGTCGTAGTTCTATCGCCTGTAGTTTTGCGAACACGCAACGTGACGAATATGTAGCAGGCTACTGCACGTCAGACGCATTCTTGAAAACAAGCGCAAGTTCCGTAAACCTTGGGGCGGGGTTTCTTGTAGCGAGAATGCGTCGCACCACTCGCACTTGTTTGATACACCACGTTAGTCAAACGAGCTCAGAGTTCAATTTAAGTTAGTATATTTCTTTTTGCTTCAGTTCTAGTTCGCTTCAACTTTCTGACGCAGCATGGCTTGCTTCTTTTCCCGCCAGGACTGCGTTTTACTAGTCTCAACCGCAGCTGCAGCTCCCAGTGCGAGGACGTTGACCACACTTTTACCGCTCGCCAGAGGACCGCCAAACGTAATAGCAGATGCCACGACCGGCTGCAGCTCCTGCAACGCACCAGACGCGCCGCCGTACTCTTGCTTCGGCACAGCGACCGCCTGATCCAAAGCCCGCAGAATCGTCGACGTCCGAGAAATATGCAGTGCAAAAGTATCGCACTCGTACAAATGCATTACAAATTTCCTCAGCATGAGAAATAAAATTTGTGATGCGGATTTACCTTAAGAAAAAGACTTGTAATGCATCATTGCGATTACTACGAGTACGTTACTTTTGCACAGGATAAGCAACGCCAGCTCCGGACGTTGGGAGTGCAGCAAAGGGATTCATTTTGGGTACTAAATCTGCAGCTGATGTTGATCCTCCTCTAGCAGCGGCATTATTTGCTAATTCCAATAATTCGATCTTTTTCTCCATTTCCTGTAACTTCGGTTGCATGACGGTTGAATCATACTCGTCCATCATTCCCCCGATTTCCGATTTCAATTCGTCCAAATGCCCCATGACAAAATCCGCCATCATTTCTCTCCCTGCTTCATCACCCCCCGTGAAAATCGACGACACCGTGTGCTTCACCTCGACCAGTAGCATTCGTTGCACATTTGCTAAAATCTCTTGCTTCGCCAACTCAATCTGGCTCGCCATCTCCATGGAGCTCCGTGCCCGCTCCGTCTCCGCGGCCACGTGGTAGTCGTCTTGCGCGAGCTTCAGGGCGTTTTCGACTGCCTGATTCGTGCTGTCGCGGAGTTTCACTTCTAATTTTCCGAGATCCCGTTCGAGTTGTTTGTTCTGTGCTTGCAAGGATGGTCTTGCTGTACGACGTGTTTGTCCAATTCCGGTCGTTTGTGGCGAAGATGAACTAGTAAAGAGGCTGGTACTAAATTCGTTGTCTCCGTGCTCCGCGGCGATTGGTTGAAGCCGGTCGTCATACGTCATACCCGATGAAAAATTGAATTGCTCGAACATTTTCTTCTGCTGCTCTTGCTGCTCAATCGCCTTCAAAGTTTCCTTCTGGATCACTTGGAGGAGCAAAGGGTGGCAGGACGAAGAAGATGCGGCTGCAGGTATTGGTGCTCCAGATGAAGTTCCTGACACGCGCGGATTTATTGTACCGGTTGCTCCTGTGTAGTAGTCCACCTGTTGGCCCCCGCCAACTTGGTTCATGAACAGAATCTTGGACAACGCGACCTCCAATGACCGCCCGCCCCGAGGCTCGTCAAAAACGTTCTTAACTGAACTTCGATTTCTTTCCATCGTGTCCAATCTTCTAACGACGTCGTGATCCACGTGATCCTTCACGTCTTCGACGCTTTGCTGGAGTGCGGAGAGCGTCTGGGCGAATTTTTCCATGGCGGCGGCTGTCGAGAAGGGCGATGCAGTCGCAGCTGACGCGGAGTTAAAAGCATCTACTTCTCGTCCAGTGTGGTCGTGTGCAGCAAACAGAGAGTTCATTTCCTGCTGTGCTGCTGAATTCGTCACGCCTGCAAGAACATTTGCGCTGTTGTTGTTCAACAGCTCCCCACGAGGACCCATCTCCTTTTGTTTCGCCATGAATAAATGGCACTTGTCCTCCACCAGATCCTGCAGCTTGACAGAGGAGAACTGCTGATCAAACCGCTTTTCGCACCGATCCAGTCCGCGTTCCAATTTTTCTAGCAGCTGCTCCCTCTGTTGCGTTATCAAACCCTTGACCATCTCCGACTGGTTCCGGCTGATGTTTTCCGCGTACTTCCTATCCAAGAAAAAAACTGTGTAAGTGTAACTTTGTGTTGCAGTCGATGCAAGACAATTACACCTGTCATGCTCGACATTCATCAGAGGCTCTTTTCGTACATGTTTTCACGTACTAGCGGCGAATTACAGGCTCTCTCTGTCATGCAGAGCGAGCTTGTGATGCAATTCCTCCAAGAAAGTCACACTAACACAGTTTTTTTCTTGGATACTTCCGGATTTTTTCCTCGAATTGTTGTTCTTCGACCTGCTTACGAACTGCGGTTTCAATCGTGATCGGCAACTCCCGGTCCTTGATCTTTTCGAAGGAACTTTGGAGATTTTCCAACAAATTCCGCTGCAAAGTACTCACCGCCTTCGTCGCGGAAGGCTCGATCAACGCGAGTAGAGATCTCCGTAACTGGTCGTCAATCAAGTCTACCCCCGGGACCAAAGCAAACTGCTCCTTTTCCTCATCAAACCCAAACAACCCGCCGGATTTTTCCTTCCGGTCCATTTCCCTGGCCTATCAAATGCAAATATGTCTGGGTCTGGAAGCTTGAACTTGTGATGCTGAGTTGAGAACAGTGAATTCTTTGTAATGCACTGCCAAGCATGAGAAATATTTGCGCGGCTTAGTATTGCGCTTTCCGCATGACGGATTGCGTTTTACATGACAGGCAAGAGGGTCTCTTCATCTTGAGCACGCATTACAAATTTTTCAGTCATGCCAGACAAGCATGACAAACCCTGCATCCTTCCAGACCCAGACATATTTGCAATGCATATGGCCTGCTCCTGTCTGATCGCCTGTGCTTCCTCCGCTAGACACTCGCATATGCTGTGCAAAAGTATCGTACTCGTATAAATGCAGGTCTTGCATTACAAATTTCTTTGCCAAGGCAAATCAGCATTACACATTTTATTTCTCACGCTGAGAAAATTTGTAATGCATTTATACGAGTACGATACTTTTGCAGTTCATATCGCAGAACCAGGACCGGAGTCTGTCCCGGCCGAGCTCTTTTTGCAGCAAGACTTGCCGAAATTCGGGGAACAGTTGCTGCTCGATCTTCTTCTCCAATCCGGTTGTTAGTTGTTCGCAATTTTCCAACGCTTGTCTTAACCTTTTTTCCGAGCCTTCCTTCGCGGAATCGAGGAGTTTCTGGAGGTGTTCCCGCACTGAACGGGTGGATTCTGCGCAGAGGTCAATTACCCGTTGCTCCTGTTCCAGGGAAAAGAAAATCTTCGTCGGGGTCGGTGTGAGAGGCGTCGATGCATTACCTCTATGCATTGCAAATATATGATCGGGGTCTGGTACTACGAAGATTCTTTACATGGTCTGGCATGCTAGACTGGCATGTTGACTCTGCGCTCTCTATTGCGTCGTGGCCGCAAAGAGCTTCTCTTGTCCGTCATGAAAATAAAACGCAGTTTCTAATGCGGAGTACGCAACTCAGAACCACGCAAAAACCTCTCGTGCTTGACAGCGCATTACAGTGTGCTCACATCATATTCCCTGACTTGCATCACAGGTTTCCAGACCCAGACATGTTTGCAGCGCATAGCCTCCGGAAAGTGACGAAACTGCATTGGGCGTGCCGTACTTCTGGAGGATAGAAGCCAGTTCAACGTCCTTGGCTGCTATCAAATGCAAAAATGTCTGGGTCTGGAAGGCTTGGGGAGTTTGTCATGCACATTTTGCATGAGCCATGATGTCTGTGATGCATGCCCTAGCATCACAGATTTTTTGAAGCCTTCTTGATGCCTATTGCGCGTGACAAATACCCTCTCCGCGAAGCAAATGCTGCCTTCACTTTGCTGCTCATGCAATACAGATTTTTTTGGATTCCAAACGCGGCATCACAAGTTACATTCTTCCAGACCCAGACACTTTTGCACTTGATAGCTGCTTGCTGTTGCTGATTGTTGTTCATCCCGAACAGATTAATTTGGTTGGACTTCCCCGCAGTTGAACTGGAAGCGGTTCTGGTGTAAAGCGAATCCCCCGTCGTCGTGTCCGTCGTCACCAAACTCGCGGTTTTCATTGCGGCTATCGCGGTGGATAATTCCTTCAGCCGTTTCGTAGGTGTTTGCGTGGTCATTGCAGAAGAGCTCTGGAACAACATGTGCCCGTGGTGCTTCGGATCGATGTCAATCACCTCCAGTTGATGTCCAGCTCCTGAACCGGCGTGCGCCGACGACGTCCCCGCCGAGTCGTGCAGAATCGCGGTTAATTGTTCCGTTATCGCGAGAATGTCCTTCTCCACGTGCTGCTTGAAGGTGGACAGAATGAAGTTGTGCTCTCCGTTCAAGTATGCACGGCAAATATGTCTGGTGGGACGGCTGGAAAGTTGTCATGCTAATGTCCGAATGATACGCAAACTGTGCTGCGGAGCTGCGCATGGCAAGTTTCTGAGCGGCTATGTCTATCGCTAAGCGCATGACAAATGGCCTCTTTGCATGACAAACAAGTGGCGTTGTAGCGCAACAAGCATCACAGACTTTTCTGTATTACCGGCCAAGCATGACAAACTTGTATTCTTCCAGAGCCAGACATTTTTCCATTTGATATCAAATCTTGCTTCATCGTTTTCATCTTTTGTTCCAAATTTTCTAAAGTCGCGGTTTCGTACTGGGAAAAGTTCTCTTCGACGTGCTTTTGGAATTCTTTGTTCTCGACTTGCAGCAGTTTCAAGTCCGCTTTTAACGCCTGGATCTGCATCGCGTGGTCATCCGAGACAAAGGAAATTCTTTTGTTCAGCTGATCTACGTGTGCGTCGCCAGCACCAGCTTCAAGATGAACTGCAGCAGTGTCGTTGATGTTGTGGTCCCCAGCGTCAGCAGCTCTAACAGGAAGTGGTGGACTGGCGTTCGTTTTCATCATGTCTCCGGCGACGCCGAGGAAGTTGGTAGCACTGTTGAGGTCCACGTGGTTCTGAGTGTTTAGTTTCTTCCGAGCTGCAGTACTAGTAGACGTTTTCGGCAACGGCCTCGCCGCTTCGTGATCGGAGTTGATCTGGCCGCTCGCGAGGCTGCCGTGGGAGATGACACTTTCCGCGTCAGTGTGCACTTCTCCACCTGGTTCAGGTTTCATGCCGGGTTTCATCTTCGTAGGAAGTTGTAAGCCAACGACCGCTCCGGAGTTCGCAGAAATCTGGTCCATGCGCTTCAACCCGAGCTTCATCAGCGCCAGGTGTTCTTGAAAATCTGTCATGGTTTCTTCAACTTCTTTTTTCACTTGGTTTTTCACGTCCTGGAGCTGATTCTCCGTAGCGAGGTTCATTTCAGCCACGATCTCTCTCACCTGCTCCTCGTTGACTAGTTTCGCCGTAGAAGTAGTTGGTGGTCCTGTTCCTGTTCCTGATCCTGTAATCGCAGCGGTATAATTTGTTGTCGAGGTGGCTATTGCAGCGACTAATTTTTCTTCGTGAAGATGATCCGCAGCGATCGCGAGACTAGGTTTCTTCTCCGCAAAAGTGGTGCGCGTGCTGGTTGTGCCACTGGAAGAGCCAGTAGTTGCAGAAAAAGTTGTACCACCAGCACCAGCAGCCACACCACCACCTGCTATTTTCTGCAACTGGAGCACATCCACCGCGGCTAATTTCTGGTCCAACTCCTCTCTTTTCCCCGCAAAATCCTCCGCCAGCTTGTGCATTTTCCCAAAATCCCGTTCCATTTTCTCCAATTTCGATCGGTTCCCTTCCTGTCCCTTCTGCAGTAACTCCAGCTTATCCTGCCACGCTTCGTTCACATTGTCGATCATTTTCCCGTATCAAATGCAAAAATGTGAATGTCTGGGTCTGGAAGAGGACTGCGAGATTTGTCATGCTTGTCTGGGATGACCAAAAAGTTTGCGATGCGTGTCCACGAGGAGACCCTTTTGCCTGTCATGCAAAAACGCAGTTTGTCATGCGAAAAACGCAACACAGAGTAGAAGCGCAGACATTTCTCATGCTTGGCTGTGCGTGTGCATTACAGAGCATTCCCTATTCCCAACGCAGCATCACAATTTTCCAGACCCAGACATTTTTGCATTTGATATCCCGATATTCGTCACGGAGTTACTCACCGTTTCTTCTACCTTCGATTCCAAATGCGCGGACACTTGCTCTTTCAAGTCTTGAATCTCTTTATCCACCTTTTTCCGGAACTCCAGCAGAGCGTCTTGTCGTTCTTTTTGTAAATTATCCCTCATGTCTCTTAACATTCGTTCCAATTTCCGGTCCATCTCTTGCTGCACCTTCACACTCGCCGCGGCGTTCTCCGCTCGGAGTTGTTTCTCCAAATCCCGGAGCTTCAACGTGTTTTGATCGTTTTGCTTCCTGGTCTATCCACAGAAAAAAACTCATTTACATCCATTTTTTGCATGACAAGCACATCATTTTTTGTGTTTTGCATGACAAATTGGATGTGAATGGGTTTTTTTCTGTGGATATGGTCGTGTCCGTCATCTCGTATTCAAGTTGTTGTGCCAAATTAGTCCTTTCCCTTTTCGCTTCCTCCGCGGTGTCTTCCAAATGCTGCTGCAGTTGCGTCCGCATTTCCTGCCGTTCTCTCGCTGTGGACTCGGAAAGCTGGCTTCTCTCGTATTTCGCGTCTTTCGCCAAGTCTTGCAACTGCTGCTCCAGTTTTTCCCTGATTATCTGCCTTTCCTTCGCGGAATTCTCCTTCGCGTCCTGGATGTCCTTTTTGAAAGTCGTCGTCATTCCGCGGATCACGTCGCGGAGTTCGGATTGCAGCGGCGCGTCTAACTCTTGTTTCAATTTCGGTCTCTCCCGGGAAAACGCCGCTTCGACGATTTGCTCTGCCTGTTTTGCGAGGTCGAGTTTCTGCTGCTCCAAACTATTTTGCAAAACTTTCGGCACGTCTCGTTTCAGCATCATGTTCTGCGCGACGAAGGAGACCATGCGCTTTTCCACGTCTTTGATCGCTTGATCGAGCGAGGCGAGCTTCATCTCTGCGTCGAGCGCATTAGTGGTAGTTGTCGGGGGCGGTTCAACTGTAACACGAGCAGGTGCTGTAACAGCAGACGGAGGTCGTGCAGCAGAAACAAAAGACTGAGACACCGCCCCGGGAAGCAGTGTCGCATTCACATCTGCATTCAACACGGACCCTTCTCGTTCGCGTGACGCAGAACGAGATTGTGTGGTTAGGGCTTCTCCCCTTGCAGCCGCCGCTGCTGCAATAGCTCCTGGGGAGGGAGGGGGAGATGTTGGTGATTTTTGCGGTTCCTGCTGGTCGTGCTGCTGTTGATGTTGGTCTACATTTATTCCATCTTGTTTCTCCTCTTCCGTCGTTCCCACCGGCGCGCCAAGCGAATTTCTATCACCCGCCGGAAACAGCAGATCCATCGCTTCCTCGTGCTGATTGTCTTCGGAAACCTTTTCTTTCGCTTTTTGGCTTTTTCTTGTCGGCGATTGCTTGTTTCCCTGCTTCGCCACGCGTTTTTCCTCCTTCTGGAGGATCCGGGCTAATTTCGCGTCCTCGGTCATCAGAGAAGTGGATGCACCTACTCTACTGCCACTCGCGAAACCTGCTCCTGCGCTGCTCCCCTCTGGGAGGTTTCGTTGCGACCCGCCTGGGGAGGACCCCCGCCCGGAGCGACTGAAAGAGGACAAGTCAGGCATTCCAGGCGCTTCGTACCCTTGGGCCCTTGCGCTATTCCGCTGCCTTTCCAGCTCTCGCATTTCCTGCAGCCTCCTTGTTGAGTTCTTCATTTTGTCCTTGTGTTCCTCTTCGTGGGTGGGTGGTGGTAACGAACAGAAGTTGTCTCTCGATGTCCTAGGTTCTGTACGCTCGTAATTCTCGTCTGTTGTTGATCTTAATGAAAGCAAAAACAAACTTCTGCACAAAGAAACCTATCCAAAATCATCGACGAAGAAAGCTATTGAGTTTCGGCTTCGCAACTGCAGCAAAGAATCTCAGTGCACGAGGCACGGGCTGATCGCGATACGATTTGCGACGTTGACGACAATTCGATTTTGATAGATGGGATGATAAACTAAACACGATTTCACGAAGATGAAAACGATGTCGCAACTAGCAGAACTCTCAAATGACCTCAGAGGCGAGTGCGACAGTTGTAGGCGAAGAGCGAATCATATAGGTAGGTAGGTAGGTTTACTCAACTACGGAGTTATAATAGTCTATAGCACTAGCGTAAGCGCTTATTTGTTTCTATAGACTGTTGGGTGGCAGGGGAATTGCCGGGTCATCTGCATCTGCTTGCTGGGGCGGCATTGCTTCCTTCTTTCCCTTGCAGGCCATCTCATGTCTCTGCATGTCGTCAACTTGTTTCATCATCGAGCGGGTGAACTCCGTGATGACTTGCTGATCCTCCTCCTGCAGCTGCTTCTTGAATGTTCCGCACTTCCTGCATTTGATTCCGAACTTGCCGCTGCGCGTCATGTAGCACGCTTCTTCAGGAACGTGGCACCTGGTCACGTAGGCGTTGGAGCCCATAAAATATCGCCCCTGGTTGCTATCCCAGATGTGTTCGCTCGGCACGAACTCATTAGTTTTAATTCGTTCGCCGCCATCGCCATACCGCCAAAGCTGCCCGTACTTGACATAGTCGCCGCGGGTATGTGCAAGAGCGTGCAGCTCCATCGCGCCAGCGCTTGAAGTAAAATGCTCACAGCAAATCTCACAGGTTATTTGCGGCACGTGCCCCGCGCGCCTCCTTCCCGCCGGTGGTTTGCCTTTCCTCGCTTTTTCCTTCAGGATACCAGGATGGCGCGCAATGATTTCCGCCCGGAGTGCAGTAGCTCTTTCGTGATCGTCCTCTTCATTCCTCTCCATCAAAGCATTGCGGCATTGAAGGTCAGGCTCCACGACCGAGTGGTTGTCTTTACAGTGCGTCTGGAGGGCGTCCGGAACACCCGTGATCTCCTCACCGCTCAGTGGCTCCTCCTCCGGGTCCTGAAAATGCGGCGAATCCGCAGGGCACCAAGGACACCGACGTAGCTTGAAGATTTCTGGAATAGCGCCGGTTGGTCGTGTATAGCCGTTCAGAGCTGCAATGGTGTCCACCGCCGGATCAAGCCCCTGCGCAACTGCGTCCCGCCGGATTTGCGCCCTTGTGCGCCTCTCCCCGCTGTTTGAGCCAAAATACTTCATTGCTAATTTGTCAAGGTACTCCTCTCGCAGTTCCTCTCTGCGTCCTTGGTCTTTCTCCGGCTTCGTCCAATCGCTCACACACTCACGAATGTATGCCCAGCGAGTTAGAACGTAAAAAATCCGCTTATTCTTGTGGTAGAGCGAATTTGGGCCCTTGAGGTCTGGGCGCAAGGCTTCACATTCATCGGGTGACATCACCAACTTATCAAGAATCTCACTGCTTATTCCACACTCCTTGCGCAAATACCCCGCGCAATCCTCCACATACGACGGGATGTGTCTGCGCTTCGGATCGAGCTCCTTGAGGTTGCTGTCACTGCGCAGGTAGTGTCGTGGTCGGAAGTCAGGCTGGTTCTGGTCCATAGGCAGACGCAGGGTAGGAAAAAACTGGCCCACCAGCGCCTTGCGGGTCAGATCGCTTTTCGGCTTCCTCATCACATGTTGTAGGCGAAGAGCGAATCATATCACAAACACAATGCGATCACACGAATACAGGGTACGGAAGATGGCCAACAAGTGCGACAGAAACGAAAACGAACAGGGTCTTTCGAATTTCAAAACGACTGGTCTGGAACAACAAGGCCGCTGCGATGTAGCGCCGGCCAAAACCATTTTTTCCCTCGAAGTTGATTGAGTTGTTTCATCTTGATACGCGAAAGTACGTTCTTGTTCTTTGCAGAAATAAAGACGAGGATCTATCACCTTATGCTTTTGTACGCGCTCGGAGCACTATTGAGCATGCTCATCATCGCGTCGGTGCTGACCGTGCTCGACATGTCCGCAAGTAGCTCTAAATCCTTCTCCATAGCGAGTACCTGCTTCAAAATCGCAGTATTATCCCTTTTCTGGATCCTATTCACCTCGTGTTCCTCCCAATGAACCTCATGATGTTCTAACTCCCTTAAACTCTGCTTCACCAGCGACTGATTGTACCGTTCAACAAACTTCGGGTCGTCCAGTTTCGCAAGCGACACTAGGACCTTCGCCGCTAGGTCCGGGTTATTATTTTCCGAAGATTTTTTATCAGACACCCCTAACACTTCTTCGCTGTACCGCTTTATCGAGCTGAACTCCGGTTTTGTCTCGAACTTATCGCTATGCTGTGCAAAAGTATCGCACTCGTATAAATGCAGGTCTTGCATTACAAATTTCTTTGTCAAGGCAAATCAGCATTGCACATTTTTTTTTTCATGCTAAGAAAATTTGTAATGCATTTATACGAGGGAGTACGATAATTTTGCAGTTCATAATCGTGGATCAACCGATGCATGGCCCGCTTCGATTTCTCCCTCTTCTTCTGCTCTGCATCTTGTTCTGGTTCTGCTTCGAAGGGGCCTGTTCTTGTGTTAATATTCTTATTCTTTGTCCTTTTCGCGGTTACAGAAGAAGCATGCGTGATGTGGTCATCATCGTGCGTTCGGTCTAAGAGTCTTTGCTGCTCAGTGTCTAACTGTTCGGGTTCAGGGGCGGAAGGTGGTTCTTCAGCGGCCGCGTCTTCAGGAAGGTGCTCCTGTTCTTCACCAACTGAAGGCTGCACAACAGCACCTTCACTCTGTCGGTCTTCCTGTTGCTTCTGTCGTCGCACAGTACTACGTGGCTTATTTTCCGGTAGCAGTTCCTCTCTCAAATTTTTCATCTTCGTTCGCTTGAACTTTTCCAGTATTTTCCCCAAATCCAGTCGCGTGAACCCGAATTTCTGTCTCAGGCTCAACACCAACAGCTTACACACCGCCAGTTGCTCTTTGACCGAGATTTTCAACTCGCCTTCGGTTTTCCCCTTATTGCTGTAGTCTAATTTCGCCTCCAGGCACTCCAAAACTATCGCTTCCGCGGCGGCGCCATCGGGAACGTTGATCCAAGAGGAATGTGTTGAGTTCTGCTCGATTTGTACCTGCTTCGTTCTTCGAAACAAAGTTAGAAGCTCGTACTTCAGCTCCGTGTCCAGCTTGTCTGTGTCAAGATCGGCGGGGTGAAGGGGTTTCTGTTTTTTCTTCTTCTTTTCTTTAGAGGAGGTCCTATCTCCGGGCTGGAAACTAACAGGAGCGTCATCATCTTCATCCAATTCTTCATAAAAATCCCCGATGCTTTGCACCAGTTCCAGCAACACCTTCCTCGCCGTCTCCGCGTTGCGATGCAAATCCTCTCGCGCCGCGCTCGCCCCGGCGGCCGCATCCCCAATCTCACTCGGTTGCACAGGAGATGTTGACGCGAGCGCTTTTTGCTCGTCCGCGGCAATCTCGGCGAGAATTTTTTCGTTCTCTTCTAGGTTTTGGGACCAAGAGACACGGCGGCGGCGGCGATTTTGTTGCATGCCACCAGCAGTCCTCGCGGTACTGGTGCCAACAGGCTCCCCAGTAGTTCTTGCGTCGTCATCTTCCCCTTCCATTATGACATTATCACCCTCTCCTGCGGATTCAAAAGCCGCTCCTTCCGCTTGTGGTTGCTTCTTATCGGTGCTGTCCTGTTCACCAATTTCACCTTTGTTCTTCAGAACACTCTGCATGTCTTCTAACAAATCTGAATCCAAGGAATCCGGCATCTCCGACGAGACCCGGAAGTCTTTGTCGGTATAGTCGTGCCGAAAAATTTCCAGTCTCGGGGACAGTACTGGCGTCTGGAATACCGGCAACGGCGCAGGCTGCCCCGGCACGTGAACAACTTGATGATGCGCCGCAAAAGACAAAGATCCGCTCGTTGTCCCGGAAGCACTCGGGTGCGACCGACTAAAAAGTGCTTCCGCTTTTTGCTTCTCTGCTTGCTTTTCTCTGATGGATCCAGACCGAGCGGAGTCCCTCAACACCATGCTTCTCGAGTAAAGCAAATCCCGATTCGATCCATGCTGGAGGGACAGCGAGGTAAGCTGTCGCAAGAGCCCGTGCCGACTCTGCCGACGAATGACGCGCTCCACGAGCTGCTTGTTATCAGTCTCTAGGGCGGTAGTTTTAATACCGTCGTTTAGATCTTCACTGTCTTCATCATGATGCTCTTCGTCGTCACTCAGGCTTTCGGATGGTTCATCTCCGTCGCTGCTGCTACCCTTTCCTAAAGGAATTATTGGTCCCATGTAAGTTGAGTCAGTTGAGTCAGTCCGATTCACGGTCGTTCCCAGCTTGGTGCCCGTCTTCGTGCCCTGTAAGACAGCTGCTTGTGCTTGCTGCTCTGCTGCGGAGGCTCTAGTTTTGCGCGATTGTCTTGTTTTCATCCCAGTCTGACTTTGTCTCTGTTTTTGTGTACTACTAGCTTGCAACGCCAAAAACTTTTGTTGCGACAAGCGCTGTCTGAATTGGTGCGTCACTAAATCCTCCGGACTGTTATTTTCCTCCCCCTCCTCCACAATCCTCCGCCAGCTCGCGTACAAATCTTCGATCATTCGGTAGATTCCGGACTGCAGGGCTTGCTGCTCCGAGTCTTTGATCTCCTTCCACAAGACCGCGACCGGGTATTTCTGCTGTAAAAATTGCGGTAAAGCCTCGGACCCCCGCAGAATCAAGCATTTCGAGTGCAACCCTTGTTCCACACTGTGGTAGAAAAGGCGATAACTGATGTTCTGTACGCTTCCTAAGTAAAAGAAGGATTTCGGCAGCGCGCGGTCGTGCTCCAGCTTGTCCTGGTTTTTGGAAAAGGAATCTAAATTTTTCTCAAAGACCAGCCGAATCGCGGGAACGTTGAACAGGGGCTTTTTGGTGTTGTTCACGCTCTCGGCGGTGTTCTCTTGTTCTTGTGCCGGGGGGAAGAGCAAAGGGTGCTGGTGCTGCTTGTAGCTGCCCATTTGGAACGGTTCTTTCCTTTGCTGCTCATTGTCCCCAAGCGTAGTCTTGTTCAGCATGTGATGAAAATTCGCTCCTGGAGAAGTTTGCATCTTCGACGCCAGTAGTTCTATCAACTCCGAATAAAGTGACCCTGGTCGTGCCAAAACCGCGTTGGAATCACCCCCAAAGTCGTCAAAGTTCTGCACGATAAAAAAGGAAATCGGGGACCACTGAGAAATCCGGTTGCGATCTCGGTAAAACGCGGCTCTTCGGTCCTCTTCTCGTCCGTCTCCACGACCTGCACCGTCAGCTACTGTAGATCTAGTTGTACCTGCTCCTGGTCCTGCACCAGCTTCGGACGCTTTCACATCATGCACAAAAAGATACACGTGTCCGACCGCGGCGGAGATTGGCAACAAGATCCTGTGCTCCACTTTCGTCCGCAACAGCTTCCCGCGGGCCATTCCAACCTCGAACAGGATCTCCTTGTGGTACCGGACGGGAACTTTCGGGGCAGAAGACGAACCGCTTGTGCCCCCGATCTGCAGGTTCGCAGCGGTGTTTTGGGAAGTGCGCTTGCTTCTGCTAGTGCGAGGTTGCTGCCTGTTCGTCGCTTGGAGCACCTGCGAAGAAGATGTTGCGGCTTGTGTCCTTTTGAGAACATCCGACTGGGTCACCCAGAGCCCCTCCTGGATGCGCGCGTCGGTGGCGCAGATGTACACGTGGGCGGCGGAGGATTTCGTCTCACCCTTGGGGCGGAATCTACTTCGACTGTGAAGTTGATCCTCGTCGCTCGATGTAGGAGTTCCTGCACCTACATCTTCCCTTTCGTCATCCTCCGTGTCTACTGTTCGTTGCGCTTGTTGTTCGGCTTCCTCTTTCACAAAAATCTCCTCCGTGACGGTCTCGGAGAAAACGAGCAGCAAGTACTTGTCGTTTACCGGATCGTAGCTGGGAAGTTGCGTCGTGATGTTTTTTCTCATCGCCATTGAGATTTGTGTTGCCGTTGTACCTCCATGTAAAGCGTTTCTGTCCCTGATGTCGTCGGCGGCTCGGACGGGCATTTTGACTCCGGTTGGTCCTCTGACAACGTTGTCAGCACCGGTCTTGCTCCTCCCGCCCATAGCTAAAAGTAAGTGTTCAGCTCCTTAATTCGTTCTAATTATCATGAGATGTGCTGCAAAAATGATGCGGAGACCTAGTTGCCCTGAATTGGGAAAACTTCTACCGCATGTCACATGACGAGGCAACCTGTGACATGGTCAAAAATGGGCCATGTAACTTGTCAGTCAACTAAAGACAACGGCAAGAAGAAATGTCATGGGTGAAATAATGTAGTTACTTGGGACGCTTGATGTGGGGTATCGAAATGGGCATCATATGACAGAGCATGTTCTGCTTCCTGGATAATTAGAGGATATCTACACGGAAGAATATCATACTCATTTTCATCACGACATACCGAAGAGGAGTGAATACTCGAGCGAAACGAAATTGCCAGAATCCACGTCCTGGGTTGCTGCACGGTGAAAAATCATTACACCGACAAAATGTCGCCTTGTGACTACAAGACCGATGGAGAAAAGTAATTACGGCAAGGTCATGCACGAGAACCATTGGTGCTTGTACGAAGATTACACCTTTTTCTTTATTGATGAACTCATAAAAGGGTTCGAAAGGAACGAGACGACCGACCAGCAAGAGTTGCCCTGCAGAGGTGACCGACAGCATGCAAAGATAACCGAAAATGCTGCGCAGCTTTGTTGCAGACAGATGCTCACGATTACGACGTTGCTCGCTCTACACTTGATCTATCCATCTCCGGCTCAAACGGCGGCCGGCCCATGCCCGTGCGTGGCGCGGTTTTCTAAATGAACACACACAACATGCTCGGCATTATCATCTCCACCTGGCGGGGCAACGGGCTCTACAACGTACGCACGCGCTTACACTACAAGAAGACCCGCACTCCACGTGGTCACACGGAAGCGGTAGGTAAGCGCATTCTCCACAGGCAGGCTCGCCCGAGTCTATGTCTAGCGGCTGACACCAGAGGGGCGAGCGCTCGCTGACGTGACCAAACCAGCGCCACCCCCAAGGAGTGGACGACGGGCGGGGAACCGGAATCCGCTCCGCCACGGCCCGTGGCGCTGCTGCATTCTGCCAAAGCGCGTCGGCCTGCCCGGCGACTACGCGCGGCGCAAGCGCCATACGCTGGAAACGAGCGGGCAGGCCCGCCGCCCGGAGGGGGCGGCCCACACTTAGCCAGGAAAGGAACACGGGGGGCCCCAGGCCGCGCGGGCGCGCCGGAATGGGCCGCGCGCCCGGGGCCACGCGCCCGGCCATATCGGCGGCCCGCCCCCAACCAGGGCGGGCAGGGAGGCCCCCCGACGGCGGGCAGCAACTCAACACACAAACCGCGCGACCGGCGCCTCAATGAGGGAACTCAGCGCAAATCCCGAGGGTTGCCCCAATCCCGAGAAGAAGGCCCGGGGAAATCCCCAACATCAGTAGCAGGGAGGGGCTTCCTGTCCTCGGGGTATGCAGCTTGTAGAGTTTCACCAGCGGCGCCCTCCGCCACACTTCAAAGCTCGCGCAGTGGCTGTCGCGCAAGCCCAGCCCTCCCCTGCCTGTTGCGGGCGTCGTATCCTTGTCCATTGCAATGCGAGAGCCAGAGTTTGTGGAAGCTGCCGCCGTTGTGGCGCCTGGCTCGGCGGCCGCGCTCCTTCTGGCACTGCTTGAACGAATGCCCTGAAACGGGTCCGCCATCTGCGCACCAGCAGGGTGGGTAAGCAGCCCGGTGGCTGAAACCCGTGCCAATGCTCCCGCATCTTCAAGCTCCTTGCTGGGCTCTGTTTTCGCCAACGAAACACCCCACCGACACAACGCAACCCATCCTCCCCAAGCCGCGAAGCGGCCCCATGGAACGCACAGGGCGCCGCGCGAGCACACTCCTCCTCTTTTCTTATTTTCGCCGCGCCCCGCCCCGCCAGGGCGGGCTGGCGCCCTCGGCCTGGCCGCCACCCGCCGTCGGCAACGCTGAACCACCAGGCAACAGGGCAAGGCCGCGGCCCACAGAACGGGCCGCCGCGGACTGTTTCGACGAAGCGCCGCCCCATCTTGCCGCAGGCCGTCGGAACTCCCCGAAAGCGGGCGCGCGGGCGCGGCCGCCTGATTGATCTGCGGCCTACCGGGGGTTTCTTCGATTTGGTATTTCCGAAGATTTCCAACGTAGCCAGCCAGGCGCGGCCGCCTGGCTTGCCAGACTGGAAAGAACCCGGGCCCGTTCGCTTTACGATGACCATGCCGGGGCCCAGGAGCACGGCAACCCCCCCAGCGCGCTCCGTCTCTAGCATCGGGCCGGTGTCCGCATATATCTCGCCCCATTTGTAGACGACGTCGGCGCTTTCCCTCAGTTATTATGTCATCCACAGGCCGGCACGTTCCGCGGCACCGGATTCGCTCCGAAGCTGCCAGCTTTTTCAAAAATTCCCCTGGGTTTTCTAAACTGCAAAAAACCACACAGGTCCGCGCTGGTGAGGAAAGAGCACAGATATCCTTGCTGACGCGGAGTAAAAAGCACGGATGTCGCCCGACAGACGCAACACCCGCCACGGGAACGGGAAACGGCGACACGCTTCTTGCACGCTGGAACACTGGCCTTCCTAGCAGGCAATATTACATCGCGTTCACACGAATACGAAAATATTGGCATAGGTATTCTTGGCGATCTGGCTATACTACATGATCATGATCCAGTTCTGGAGTTCTAGCCTCTGTTCTGAAACGGAAACGGTTTGTTCGTGTGCTACAGGTGTGGCGTTCAACATCTTCACTGATCGTACATCAAAACTTTCTTTCTCAGTACCTAAAAACCGCTACTCTTAAACATTGACGCATTCTGCACACCAGAAGCTCCGGCGCTACTCTTAAACGCACTAGTAGCGTTGCCGACCGTCGACTTTCCCGCATACGAGCTCTTGTTTCCTGCGGTAGTCGTCGCCCCCGCCGTCCTCGTCGCGCCCGCCGTCCTCGTGGCGCCCGCCGTCCTCGTGGCGCCGTACGCAGAAGACCTGTTCATCGTTGTCCCAGCTCCGTACGAAGATTTCGTACCCGCGCCCGGCAGGATAGATTTCCCCCCGCCCGCCAAATTGAACGCGGCGGGGCTTGCGCGCAGCGGATCTTCTTCGTCCTCCTCTTCCCCGTCGCCTTCCTCCTCGCTGTCGTCGGGTTTCTTGTTCCCTTCCATCATGAAGTACACCGCCCCCAAAACCCCGATTAGCACGACAACCAGAAACACCATGTTCACGACCATAAAGGTCCCGGTGTTGTCCTCCGTGTTCTTCCCCCCGGTAGTTTTTCGCGCAGCCGCTTGTTCTTCGACCTGTTCTATCTTTTTGAACGAGGTCTTTTTCCACGCACACCCGCTCGCTTTGCTGTTTGACATCATTTCTTCCAATTCTTCGTCCCCGCAAATCCGCCACGCGTTTTCGTGCGCGGGCTCCTGGACGATGAGCATCTTTTTCAGGCCCCCGGTATCACAGGAAAAAGTGTTAACGTTAACAAAATTCAAATTTGTGATGCAACATTGCATCACAAAACGTGCCAGAGTTTCAATTTGTCATACAGAGCATGCATATTGGGCTATATTTGTAATGCCTGGCTGTAATCCTAATCTGTGAAAAGAAACCGTTAACGTTAACACTTTTTCTTGTGATACCCGGACTCGGAGATTTCCCCGTCGTACGCGTCAAACATGCGCGACTGGCACCCGTGGTCGTACACGTACAGGCATTATGCATCGCAAACATGTCCTCGGGGTCTGGAAACTTGTGATGCAAGGAAGGGAAGAGTGAGCGCTCTGTATTGCGCTGCCCCGCATGATAAGTTTTTCCGTGGTTCTGAGTTGCGTACTCCGCATGAGAACCAACCTGCGTCTTTGCATGACAGGCAAGAGGAGCTCCTCGCGGCCGCGCAATACAGATTTCAGAGTCATACCAGACTAGCATGGCAAATGTCGCAATCTCCCAGACCCAGACATCTTTGCAATTGATAGGCATTCCGCCGTGACGAGGCACTCCTTCATGGCGTCTTCCGGCGCGAACCAGTACGCGTTTTCCGTCTCATATGCAATACAAATTTCCCGTACATGTACAAGGTGCATCACAAATTTCGCCAATTAGGAGCGTAAAACTTGTCATGCTAAACTAGGATCGAGGAAGCCAAGTTTTGTCATGCAGAGACCGAATTTGTACGTGTACGGGAAATTTACTGTGGATATCTCAATCGTGTGGGACGTTCCCCCCTTGTTGTCGATGTGACAGTTGAGCGGCAGTTTCCGGTACTCCTCATCGGGTAACAACGCGACCCACACCGGCGCGAACTTCCACTTTTCTTCGTGCATGATCGGGAAAAACTGGTCAAAGGGGAGCTGCACATTGGTTTTCTTCAGAGCGAGATCGTAGTTGTTCGCGTTTCCCTGCCCCTGATTCGACAGCGTGTTTTCCACACTGGCGGCCGGCTGATTGTGGCTCGGGCTCCACGCGTGTTCGTACTGTGTCGACATCACGGACATGTCGCAGATGCGATAGTGGTCGTTTGCTGGCGTCGTCTGGAACTTCACCGGGTCCGCGTCGAGGTCCAGGCGGGCAGCGTGCAATGCATTCCCATCGTGGTCGTGGACGTAGGTGCAGAGGAGACTGGAGCTGCAGTGTTGCTCTGCGGTCTTGAAATCCGTGTACCACTGGTTGGTTTGATCCTGTGCTAATGGGACTTGGAGTCGGCACTTGTCCTCGCTGTTGTGCCCGCCGAGGGTTTCGACCCAAACGAGCTGCCACTGCCACCAGGTCGGGTTTTTCGGGTTTTCGGGGTCGATGCTGTTCCTTGTTATACTACTTCTGTGTGATTGTTTAGTTTTTCTACTACTCGTCCTGCTGGCGACAACGAGCGATGCCTCAGTTTCATTTTGAGCTGTTATGCCATGTTGGTTTGGGGATGAAGAGTGACCCGCGGCGGGCCGACGAGAGAAGTCGTGCCGTGCCTGTTTCGATGCGGCTGCGTTCGTTTCTTCGAAGAGTTTCTTTTCGGACGTGCCCTTTGCGTTTGCTATTGCTATTGGAGGGTTCTTGTTTTCGTTTTGGTTGTTTTCCTGAAGGAGCACCGTCTGGCCGCCTTCCCGTTGCACTTGTGAAAAAGATGTGGTCCTAGACGTCTTGCTTTCCGCGCGCAACAGTCGCCCGTCACCACGGATGCCAACTTCTTCTTTGGTGCTTCTGCTTGCTTTTTCTCCTGCTTTTGTGATGAGAAAGCTTGGTATTGCGGGAAGCTCCCCCTCGATTTCGTCCGCAGTGAATCTGACGTGACCGCCAACATCGAGCTCTGGTGGAGGAATGTTGTAAATGGTAGTTGTTCCACCTGAACTTGCTGGAAGATCTCCTGCGCTGCGGCTGCTCTCTATCCCGTAAACTACACCGCCCGGTATTAGAGCAAATGAGGTGAGGAAGAGCAGCAAGACACCTCGCGCCGATTTGGCTACACAACTCGTCGTCATTTCAAGAATTCCCCCTGCCTGGCGCTCGCGTTGGGCACTGATGTTATAATATCGCGTGCATGATCATCATCATAGGGTCAACAGCACCTACGCTGAAGGTTTGGCCGTCAAGATAATGATAAAGGCTTGCTCAACGTCCGTGGACGAAAATGCGCACTCATTCAATAAAGAAAATGGTTTTTGCACATTTTTGCGAAAAAGCGACGTTCCCAAGCAGCTTCCGCTCGTCCAAAAAACGATGCTCTTTTTTTTCACAAGCAGACGGGACTCTCCCTCATTGCTGCTCCGAATATGCGTTGTAGTCCGGCTCCGCGCTCACGCATACGGCCTCTGATGTTCTAGGCAGTCTGTCATTCTTTCTTGTGAACAAGCGGAGTAGACACCAATCGCTGTGACGGCGCTCGAAGCGTATTGCCACTTCATCTCCGACGTGTTGGCAGAACAAGCTCGTCGCAAATTATAAACCTGGATCTTTTTTCATTTGTTTCTCGACTTAACGCGTTGATACAAGTTCATTTCTAGTGTCGAGCCCGCAGGAGCAGGACCGCGGACCCGTTCTTTGATTCCGATGAATCGAAATTCTACATTTCTTGGTGCATTTGTTGCTTCTGTGACTAGTTTGTTAAATTATCGGTTAGTATTGGTTTCTCGGAAAATTGAAATTCATTAAAATCTGGTGTAATCGTACAAGAGTTGAAAGCTCAAGCAGCAAGAAAAGCCTTTACTGGGTACTAGTTCAACAAATCGTCATAACAAAACAATCTTTCACTTTAGAATTTGTTCGCGGCTCGCCTGTAAATGTTCGATGATCTTCGAGCTCTTCGATGACAGTTGTCACCATGTTGATCACCACACCCCCTGCACTTGCCTGCTCCTTCCGACCGACGAGGCTGCTGTAGTACCGAGGAACCCTCCATGATCATGATCCCCGAAGCCGCTGACCGAAAACAGCAGGAACACAAAGGTGAACAGCAGCTGCAGTCTCCACCCGAAGAACATGGCTTTGGACGACGCGTCGCTATCACAAGAAAAAGTGCTAACGTTAACGGAATTTGTGATGCAGGGATGCATCTGAAGAGGCGCGCAAATTTGTATTGCGTACCATGCACGGAAGGCAAAATTTGTAATGCATGACTGCCATCTGTGAAAACCGTTAAAGTTAACACTCTTTTATTCGATAGTCGTTGGTTTCCGTGACCACTATGGATTCCTCCGACACCCGGTTCCAGTAACGCGAGCAGGTAACTTCGTCGTACCGCCGGGCGGCTTCTCAAGTGTAAAAATGTCTGGGTCTGGAAGGTTCTGAGACTTGTGATGCACGATTTGCATGAGCCGTGGTCTCTGTGATGCATGACCTAGCATCACAGGTTTTTTGAGGGGTTCTTGATGCCTATTCTGCATGACAAATGCCCTCTCCGCGTAGCAGAAATTAGATTCCTTTTGCTGCTCATGCAACACAAATTTTTTAGTTTTAGACATCCAAATGCAGCATGAGCATCACAAGTTGCATTCTTCCAGACCCAGACATTTTTACATTTGATACGGCTAGGCCGGTGAGGTCTGCGCAGATCTCGGAGGCCAACATGCAGATGGTGTTGCAGAGGTGGGCTGTATTTGATAAGAATGTGTTTTTTCTTTTGGATTCAGAAATATTAGGGCTGCAGAAGGAAAGTGTGCTTGGCATCACAATGGACTCCGAGCACGTCAAAATGGTTTGGCAGAATCGCAAATCATCTGAGCAGACTTTTTCAACACAGTAGCAGTACTTTGTTTCACTTCCCACACCAAATCGCTGGTGTTTTCGCCCGCTTTGTAATCTTTCAGCGAACTGTCCTTGATCCCACAAGCTTTCCAGGCGGCCACCAGTGTCGCGGCATCACCTGTTGTATGTTGTGATTCCAAATCAAGAATGGGTAATATGGCATGCGCATCATGCACGATTTTTTATTTCTCATCTCGGTGAGGCCGCTTCGAAAAGCGATACCGGAAGTTCCGTACAACTTCTTAATCGCCATGGCCATTTTTCACTTCCGAAAAAAGTCGAGAAAAACACAAGTACATTCTTCCCGAAACGTGTTCGTGTCGACAAACCCCGTCGTGGTACTATTCGTGCTATCGTCTTCGTCGCTGTCATCGCCTTGCTCTTCTAGATAAGCTGCGTCTTCACCGGAATCGTAATCGTCCTCCCCGCTATCGTAGCTGTCCTCGTACTCCCCATCCTCTTCGTAGCTGTTCGTAGTTGCTGGCCAGTCGTCAAGCTGTTCCTCATCTTCCAATCCGTCTTGGTTGATTGCAAACTGCTTAGTTGTCGTTGGGTTGTTGTACATTTGCGGGACTTGAATCTGCGGTCCATTTGGCGTTCCGGTAGTACTCACCGTGGCGAAAACACGCTGACGGGATTGTAGCTGCTGCTGTTCTTGCGGGACTTGATTATTTTGCTGCGGGACAACATCATTTTTGACCATGCCATTCACTGTTCCCTGGAGGAGGTTCGACTGCACCAACTGCTGCCCGTCTGAGGCCGTTGCGAGAAACTGCGGATCTTCGTATAGCGCCGGCGGTGGCTGCGCAGCGTAGCCATTACCTCCTTGCACTACTAGCGCCGGCTGCGGATAGCTTGGCCCTGCACCTGCTTGCAGCACTTGCTGTCCACCCGCCACAGGAGCCCCTTGGAGGTTGTTCTGCCCGTATTGACTCACCGGAATCCTCCGGCGAATCACCACGTCTTGCTTCTGCAGGTAGGATTGTGTCCGATTTATTTCATCGTCTTCATCGTCACCCGCCTTATTATTCCTTGCCAGCACCATCGCCTCAGGCGTGTAAAAATCGCCGCCAGCTAATGTCGTCGTTGTCGCAGCGGTTGTGGAAGTAGTAGAACTTGATGTTGTGCTGATGGACTCGCCAATCTGCTCGCTGCTCCGGTTGGTCAGGTTGTGGAAGACGTTATTTTGTGCGGTTGTGAGGTAGGCTGACGAGGAGCTTCCTTGATGTTGTCCAGCAGCATCCTTTGGGGGCGACATCGTTGTCGAGTTTGTGTCATCCGCGTCTTGTATTTGTACTGCTCCTGCAGTGGTCCTTTGCGGTGCTTCGGTCGAGTTGTCCCCATCGTCCCAATCGTGCTGCACCAAAGACGAGGAGGTCGGAGCTGGCGCAGGGGCAGGGCCCGGCATCCGGATTGACGCGCCAGAAAAACTTCCTGTAGACGTTCCGGCTTTCGTCGTCGTAGTAGAAGTCGTGCTTGTGCTTGTCGTGGAAGTGCTCGTTGTGCTTGTCGTGGCGTCCAGCCCCACGGGCTCGTCCGGATGCAATGTTTCGCTATTCTCGTTCATCATTTTGTCTACTTCTTCATCCGGAATCTCCTCTTCACTCCCACTACCATCTTTCTCGTCTTCGCGTACTAGTAGTTTTTCGCTTCTCAAGGTCTTCTTCTGAAGACCTCTCATCTGTGCAGCAGCTGTTGCTGCTGCTGCTGCAGCAGCTCCTTTCGCGGCTTTCCTTCTCTGTTTCTTGTTCATCTTTCGAAGCTGCTGGCGTTCATCTTGACGATGCCCATCTTGCAATCGGCCACTTCTACTACTACTCGAGGTGGACGAGTAGACTCTGCCGGCAGAGGTGGAAGAGGATGATGATTTTCGACCAGCCGCGGCGGTTCTTGCACCACTCCGTTTTTTGCTCCTCTTCCGCTTCTATGCATTACAAAAGTATCGTACTAGTATAGATTGCATTACAAATTTTTTCAAAGAGAAAAGTGCAATTTGTAATGCTGATTTGCCTAAGATGGGCAATTTGTCATGCATGATTGCAATTACTACGAGTACGATACTTTTGCACAGGATAGCTTCTTCACTTTGACGATCATTTTTTTGTGTACTCGAAAGTTTTGTCCCTCGCCGCGCCAGTGGAGAAGGTCTTCTGCGCTCTTCTTCACGGAGCTTAACGCAGCATCGAGGAGAGACTCTTGCTTTTCTCGTCCCTGTTGGTGGTGCTCGCTGCTCTTCCTTGTGCTCCTGTGCTGCTTTGCGGCGACAAGATTTTGGTGGAAATTCAAATTTGCCTGAAACAAGATTTCCTGGATGTTGGGAAGGAGTGCGGTTGTCCAACAGGCTGCTGCACCTAAAACGGCGGGGGTTCTTCTTGCTCGAAACCTCATTTCTCCATGTCGATATCTTGCTTTCGCACTGCTCGACGAACTAGTAGAGCTGGGCGAAGATGACGAATTACACGGAGCTGTGCTCCTGAAGGTGGTCTCGGATAAGTCCGGCCCTCGGTCGTGGCAGCAGCTGAGTGGTGGCATCTTGAAGAAAGGGCGATGATTCGTCTGATTAATATCTTACTCAGACATCACTTCTCGCCGTCCTGGTCCTAGCAGAGGAGCATCGACACTACTTGAGTGCTGGCTTCTCTCAGTCGTGAGTGAATCAAACCGTGACAACTTCAACTAGTACAAGGATGCAGCTCTGCTATCTCTGCACGACAAGGACCACGACGAAAACCAAAAATCCAAGTTCTCCGAAGGTTCACGTGCAACAACATTCACAAGACCACACTCTACATCAAGCCTGCTCTCGTCGTCATCGAATCTCAATCGCTTTGTTGGTTTTCCAGAAGATGAAAAATCACCGAACAAAAGAACAATGATGATTAGCATTAGTTCGAGCGGGGCTCGGGACAGCTCCCTCCTCCAACGCGCGGCAGGAATAGCCTGCCCTGATACCCTAGTGGTAACGTCGTTGACTGAGGCCAGGTTTTTTCGTCATTCAAGTGTGGAAAGCCCTCGCTCGGGATCATTGGGCCTTGCTTCATTCGGGGGCTGGCATGTTTCGCACATTCCGAGGAACAGGGCGGAACTACCAGCACGCACACAGGAGCCGGGACTTGTTTGTCCTATTCTTTGGCCTGGAGGTCAAGGATCGGCCACGCGATCACGCTTAAGGCTCGCAATACTAACGCTCTGACCTCCGACCCATACTGATTGCGCAGTAATCACGCTTGAGTGGGCTCGAACCACTCCGCTCGTTGAATGAAGTTCCACAGGTCAAGCGTTACGCCTTGGCGAGCTAAGCAAGGCAAAGCTCGTCCCAACCTTTTGAATGCGGCGCATTGGATCCTTTCCCTGCTAAGTTTATTATAGTGAGACCAGGGCACGCCCCCCGGAGACAGCGCGACCCACTTTTTGCAAAACTTCGCGCGCTAGCGCCTATCTAGATGCGGCGGGAGTTGCTCCGAAGATGGTGTGCAAAAAATTCGGATCGAAGGCGCAAGTGCTCAACAGAAGAGAAAAAAAAAATTAAAATGCGTCAATAATAATAAAACCAACAGATGACAGTGATAGATATCCAACGCCTTAAGATCCTCAGCAACGCAATCATGATGTTGATGAGCCGTATTTGCCATTTAAAACATTTTCTGCTCTTCATTTGCCATCCTGTATGGCTTTCAGCGTGACCGTAATTGCGTCGTTCAAGTCGGTGTCGGTCCAGTGCGTGATGATTTTCGTCCGCGCACTCCGCACGCCGGCCTGCAGTTTGGCGATCGTGGTCGCGTTGATGGTCTTCAGGAACTCTACGATATTGTTAACGCCGGATCCAGTTTCCATCAGCGTCTGCGCCACTGCTGGAGGGGATTTCTTCTCGCCATCGCCACAGCACCACGAACGTTGGGATGTTGCCTCGCCGACAGTTGCTTGGTCTTGCTCTTGCCCCCCGTCCTCGCCGGCTGGGTGGTTTTCCCCCGGGGATGTATGGCCCCTAGTGGTTGCGTGTGCCGCCTGCGTGGAATCTGGCGCCAGCACAGAGAAATCTTCCCAGTCGTGGTCTCCCAGATGCCACCGCCACAGCGTGTGCTGTTTCCGGTGCGAAAGCACCGGTATGCATCCCAGCGCCAAGCTGTCCAGCATCCCCTTGCGAGACGGAGTGTCTCCTTCCGGCTGCAAGCAAAAGGTGGACTTCATCATGGCTTGGACCAACCCAGGGAGCATGCCCTCCACCGTGGGGTCCACCGCAATACAATGGTCGCTGTCGTGGCAGTGTTGATTCCAAACGTCGCGCACGCGCGCAGAGGCAATGCCAATGCGTTTCCCCAGAGCGGCCATGACCAGGAACTCGCGGCCGGTTTCCTGCGCTTTATCGGCGACGGCAAACAGGTGGGCGAGTTGCGTACTGCTCAAACCGCCACCAAGGGTCGGATACGGAATAGAACGCTCCGGGCGGTTTCTTCCAGGGCCTCCGTACTTGCCGCAGGCTGTGTCTTCCAGGGCCATCTTTCGGATTTTCTGGAGCAGCGGGTTCTCGCTATTCCAAAAAGGGCACACGTCGTCCCACAATCCCCCGACACGCGGAGACATCAGAAAGTGCTTGCTCGCCGTTTCGTCGGACAAGTAGGGAAGAGCAGCCAAAACTTCGTCTGCCGTCGGGCACTCGATGCGGTTCGGTTTGTAATTCTCGCGCCAAATGGGCACGAAAAACACATCGGCGCGTATGGGATCTGTGACTTTGCAAGCCGAGCGCACCAGGCGGGATTGGAAGATGCGGCCATTTCGAAACTGGTCAGTGGCACGGAGCGTCACGTTGGCTGGCGGCGAGTCGATCCTAACGGAGAACTCCGGACCGAAGACGCAATCGCGCTCCTCGGCCGAGCCAGACGGGAATTCTCTTTCGCAGTACGCATCCTCCCGCCAAACGATGTCACGTGTCCCGTGACTTAGTAACTCCTTATCCGGAAAGCCATACACGAACACTCTCGGTGCTTGGTCTGGGCAAGAAGGAGTAGAAGGATCAGCAAGAAATAACTCATGACGCTGGTGCATGTGTAGCTGACCTTGTGCTTCTTGTTCTTCCTGCTGCAGGAAAGTAGGCTCCTTGAAGGTGCTAATGCCTTGGCCGTACAACTTCATCCCGACCCCAAATGTTGTTGAGAGGCCGTTGAAAAAATGAAGCGCGGCGAGCCCTGTGATGCGCAACATGATTATGCGAGCACGCGATAGAAGTTGCACTTTATAATGGAAAGATAAATTAAGTAAATACTCAAGTACAGGTGAAGAAGCGAAAAAGTAAGTTAGTTGTTCTTCAAGATAACAAGAAATAATGTTGGTATTAGCAACACTTCATGCGAGGAGCAGCGGCCTGGGAGTTATATTAATTTGCCTAGTATTTGCTTTAGGTATAGCTTATTTTCATAGATTGTCAAATATGATGGCACCGCGCGCACGACAACTGAAATGATACCGACTAGTTGTACATATAACCGAATCCGAAGCTCACCATAGTAAGTACACCGATGTTGTTGTACTAAAGCTTTTTTCGCCACGGTTGTTGCCCTATGAATTGCAAAAGTATCGCACTCGTATACATGCATGACGTCGCCTCGGTAGTGTCGTGGCCTGGGTACGCCGATACTCGAAGAACAATCTTACTTTAAGACGACACTCGAAGTCATCAAGAGATGAACAAGGGTCAAATCAAAGCCACACTTTTGAGCTTTACCTGTTCGAGATCGGACTGACGATACTGGTTAACACGACTAGCTCGATAACTAGCTTTCTTGAAAAATTATCTTCTGTTTGAGAAATTCACGACGGCCAGCAACTACAGCAATATCCTCCTGTTCATTTTTTCTTCCCCCGTGCAGCACCGCCACCTGCTTGGTACTTCGAACCCGTCGCTTTCCGCTTTTTCTTCACTGACTGGCCCAGGAATTTCAAAAAAAGCAGCGTCAGCACGCCACCGCCGCAGATCATCAAGGCGGAGGCCATTGTTCCTGTAGTTGACTGCGGTTTTCTATTCGTACACTACAGTCTTTTTCTTCGATTTTCTCTTTCAGCAGCAGAATCAAAAACTAAATCGGCCAAACGCCTGTGGTCGTGTTGCTGCAGAGGAAAATTGATGAGATGATGTTTATGACAAGCACGTTTACACAAAACCAGCGTCGCTACGTGAAGATGACCACGATTCACGAAATGTGAAGAACGATTATGTTGTCACCCTCGAGCTCGACCAGCCCTCCGCTGCTGAAAAGACACGAAAGCTTTACCCACGAAATAAGAGCTCAACAATATCGAAATAACGATGACGCAGCGCGAAAACGAGTCTACGATAGAGCAAGTAGAACGAAATAGAGCCGACTTACTGAGCAATGCCGGAGCGAAACCCGTTGTACTTGCGTATGACGTGGCAGGCGCAGTCGACCAACACGATGTCCATGACCATGTCCATGGCTCCACCGTGTCATATCTTTTCATCAATCATCCAAAACTAATTTTCGATTTCAATGTAGTAGTAGTTGTCCAAAGCCAAACGTAGATGTCAATTTGAATTTCGATCTCCGCAAGACTGCTGGTGCTGGTCGTAACCACGGCGACGATCGATCGATGTGCAAATTTTTCAGGAGAAGCGAAATAGCTGTCAATATCAACTTCAGATACAGGTTTTCAAATCAGTCAAGAAAGGTTTCAAGTCCGCATTTTTCAATTTCAAACTTCTGTAGCAAGTAACTGCCAACTTCTACCAGAAGGTGTATTTTCAAGAAACTGTGTATAATAAGGAGCAAGCCAAAAATTAGTTTACGTTAGTGTTAGCTGTGATTAGTTCATGTCAATTGTTTCTGTAAAGCCTAAAACGAAGTCAATTTCGAAGCTGTGTATTTTGGAGGTAACAGGCTCCTGGTTTTCAGGTTCACTCCGACCGCTCCCTACATAACATCATCCCCCGCCGACGTCTTCTTAGCATGATCTACCACACCGGTAGAAGATGAAGAAGTAGGAACATTACCTCCTCTCCCAGTGCCCGAAGCTGCAGTCGCTTTCGCTCTAGCCGCCGACCGCCGTGCCGCTAGACGCGCTGCCGCGGACATGTGGGGCGAGATAGATGTGATGGTATTACTGGGAATGCTAACACCTTTCGGGGCTGTCATTCCTCTACTTCTGGGTCGTTCCTGCGCATCAACTGCACCGGGTTTTCGGCTGTTCGGGCTGGTCGAGACGATGGTTCTGGTTGGTATCGACGGTGACGGAATGAGAGCAGGCGAAGCAGTCGTGGTTGTACCGAAATCAGGAGTTGCCCTGCGATTCGACGCTTCCTTGTTCCTCACGACGCCCACGGGAGCTGCCACGTCGTCGTCCACCCCGTTGCTAGAATCATTCCCCGAAGCGGATGAGGAGGAGGATGACCACTGGAACCCTGATGTTGAGCCATCCCTTTCCCGATGGTGCTCGCCTTCCACGTAATTCATCTCCGACTTACTGTTATTGGTTTGACGGTTTTGCTGTTGTTCAGCAGCAGCCTCAACATCGCTATCCCCGAAGGTAGCTGTATGCGTGTGCCCTGCCGGGTGTAGTTCTCCTTGTTTTACACCGTGTACTACCGTCGCACCCCCCTCCTTGTCCCTTTGTCCAGCTGCAGTTCCTGGGGCGGAGAGAACGGTAGTGCCGAACGTGAATGTAGCCGCAGTGGTGGTGGTGCCTCGCTTGTTCTTATGCAGTTCAAAAATAATATCGTGTGAGTTTGTACTAATTACACCACAAGCTTTTCGTTTTCCAGAATCAACGAACAAGAGTATGTCGCTGACTAGTAAAAAGACACACCTGTCACGCACGAGTGCAATCAGTACGGGCACGAAGATATCAATTTTGCGCATGATAGTTCTGCGTTTGCTCCGTCACGCGGGAGTCGTCGAGAATGCTGGCGGCCGAGGAGCTAGGCCTATTCGACGTATTCGTATTGATGTTTCCACCCCGTTTGTTGTCTTTGTTCATCTGCGATACTTGTTCTGTGATTCGCGAGTCAACACTGTTCTGCGAGGCATAACTGCTGATATTGGACGACATCCCGCTGCTGGTCGGCTGTGCACCAGGTGCAGCTACTCCCGAGGAGGGGATCATAGTACTGTCGTCCGAGCGCAGTATCGAATCCCCGGCCGAGCTGTAGTCCTTGAACGCACTCGGGACACCACCCGTAGCTCGGGATCCGGAAGCGCCGCTGACATTCCGCAATGCGGACGGAAATTTGATAAACGAGCGATCTTCGGCGCTGGGGATCGAGGGAACTCTTTCACTTTCCGGCCTTGAGGACAATCTTGGGATAGAAGATGCTTGTGTAGTAGTTTGCTGAGACGGACCAGAACGTCCACCACTGCTATTGGCACTCGCACTCCTGGGTGGAACAACGCTTTCCTCACTTTTCAGTTTCACACCTTCCGCCGCGTCGCGAAACATTTTCTCCCCGTCGCCGGTCCTCCTTCCGACTGATGATGCGTCGGTTAAGCTAGTACCATCCCGGGTCGTTGTACTACTGTCGCCGACTTCAGACAGACCAGTCACCGCGGTTTTCAGCCCCGCTTTCGCTTTGTGGACGAACGAGGGCAGGCCGCGTAAATGGTCCTCCTCCTCGCGCCGAATCAGGCTGCGGAAGTCGCGACTGTTCAACGTAGATTCCTCGTGTTTCAAAACCTTATCGATGTTCGCGATCTGTTCCCGCACTTCGTCGTGCAATTGCTCGTGATCGTTGTTGTCGTGGTGCTCATCGGTTGTCGTGCGGAGTTCGCCGTACACCCCCTCCTCACCAAAGGAAAATTGCGACTTCGTTTGCGTAACCGTTCTTTTCGCACCGGTGGGTGAGAGATTAAGTGGCGAAGCTGTTCCACCTGTAGTTCGCTCCGAGTAGCTCGTTATGGAAGATTTTTTGCTGCCCGCATTTGAGGATGTAGTTCCTCGAGGTCGTGGATCAACACCAGCAGGAGCTGCACCATCTTCATCGTCCTCACTGGGCCGGGGGATGATCGTTGAGGTACTTGTGGTGGCTTCACCTCCCAGCGGTTTTTTCTGCGTAGTTCCGACAAAATTAAACCCCGAAATCCGCGGCTTCAACTGAAAACTCGACCCGGAAGGCCGACGGGCCGCCGCACTGTTGCGCTGCGCCTGATCTCCGGAAGGTTGGAGATTTATTTGGGTCGATGCTGTTGTGGTGTTGGAGTTGGTAGACGATCTTCGAGATGCTGCATTAGGAGCAGCAACAGACGACCCTGCACTGGTCCGAATACTGCTTTTGATGGCGGGCGTCGGTAAAAAAGTCAAGGGTGGAATCAGTTTTGACTTGCGCTCTTGATCTTCTTTCTTGGGAGCTGCTGGAAGAACACCGCCTGGGTCTACATCGTCGGGGGTAAGATTTTCCTGTGCTGCGCTTGCTTCCTCAAAAGCTGTGGATGCTGCCATCAGTGGGACATTTTCCAATGCCGTGGTGCTGTCGTCGACGTCGACCGCAACTACAGCCGCCTTCGAATGGTCTACGACGACCTGGCGCAATTGGTCCTTCGCCGGGGTATCGGCATCGACTAGAAGCTCGGTGTCGTCACCGCAACACCAACCGCAACACACCATTCTTTCAGTTTATTTATCTTGCGTTCATGGTTGATGAAACCTCGAGAAGCGAGTGTTTAGTATACGCTTTTTCATCGTCATGCTTTATTTGTTTGTCGAAGTGCTGGGCTGTTCATCTTCATCATCTACTGTCGAGCTTCGCAGCTGTAATTTTCCATTATATCATTCATCGGTCTAAGTGCTCAGGAAGATCCACCTCCCAAGTTCATTATATTTCGGTCGTGCTGAGTGCTGTCATTTGATGGCGAAAGTGCGCAAACAGATACGCCAAAGAGCATGATGCTGACGACAATGACACGACATAAGTACCCTTTTTACGACGGAGAGCTTCTGACACATAAGCAACGACCCGAGCAGGAGCAGAGCATGATACGATCGACAGGGAACCGTCTTGGACACAGAAACCAAGACGAGTCCTAGCAACGAGTTCGAGTTTCAAGAAAACGATTGCTTTTTATGTGAGACGATGACAAATAAGGCCACAAAATCGACGAAACAATACGGATGGGCATGGCTCTTTCTGCCATACATTACAACAAGGAATGGCGGCTTTTTATTTCGTATATATTTTTCCAATATTCATCCGTATAAACATCCAGCGATGAAAACCAACTGTACACAGGCACTGGTCATCCAATGATCTATCAACGCAAACAAGAACTCTAGTACAAGAAACTAAGTCAAACAGAATCAATTTTAGATGATATTGTATTTGAGTGCTGTGAGTGATCAATCACGTCCATCACAAGGCGCACCTCCTCCGAAGGCAAAGACGCTACCGATGATTAATTTCCATTTCGTTCAGATAAGTTTAGTAAGGTGGAGCTGCCGATAATTTTGTTTTGCCAAACTCAAATTCGGTAATAAGTAAACAAACATATTGAAGAACTTACTGCTACTGCAAATACGAAAAACCAAAGAAACAGTGAAGCGATCTTAGTGTCGCTCTGCATCCGCCCAGGCAGCGCTATCAGCGTCGTTTCTCCAAGTACGATAAGCGCAGGAGACAGAGTCGTGACGATCATAGTTATACACGAGAAGTAAAAAAGCGATCGCTACTGTGACCTTTTAATTTTGTGTAGAAGTACGTAACTCCTGTATCTCTATCTTCTAGTTGTACTAGTCCTCCATAATTTTCGCGAACGCGTTTTGCAAAGCCGTCTCCTGCCGCTTTATCTTTTTCAGGCTCTTGTCCCGTGCCAAGGTGGCTTGCCGCCGCATATGCAGTGTAAAATCACCACCATGTTGGTCTCCTCGATGTCCACCCTCAATTTGTAATGCGCACATGTTAGCCTTACTAGGCTTAGGTGGTGATAGACAGAGCATTGAAAATCTGCATTCTTACAAATTGAGGGCCGTACTCGTGGTGGTGAAAAAGATTTAGATTAAGATTTGACATTGGATAACGCAGGGTCCAGGCCGGCCAGGATTCATCATCTTCTTCCTCCCAGTCATCCTCGTCGCCCTTCTTGTTCTCCGCACTGTACTCCTTGTCGTGCCCCTCCTTGTCCCAGCCTTCCTCGTCATTTCCGGAAAAAGATCCTTCGTGTTTCGTCAACTTCGCAGAAGTAGTGCCCGCGCTGCCGTTTTGCTCTCCCTGTTCTTCTGTTGCACCATAGTACTCCGTATGGATTGCAAATATGTCTGGGTCTGGAAGAGTGCATGTTTGTCATGCATGTCTGGCATGGCTCTTAAATCTGTCATGCACGTTACCTAAGGGCCCCATTGATCTGTCATGCAGAAACGCAGTCTGTCATGCAGGGTAGGCAACACCTAGAAGCTCAGAAACTTGTCATGCTGACCCAGCACTTGTGGCCTCCCCATGATACGCCACCCAGCATCACAAGTTTCCAGACCCAGACATTTTTGCATTTGATACTCCGCTTCGTCTTGCGATTTCTTTCTGCTGCTCCTGCGGTCGTTCTTCGACGACCGTGTAGCTGTTTTGGCGGAAGACGAAGTGCGAGAGGCTCTTTTTGTCGTGTCTGCGTTGCTCTCGTCGTTGATGTCCTCTGGTTCTTCATCGGGGGGCTGGTCCTTGCCCTTGCCTTTTGATGGTCTGGAGGACCGTTTATTCTTGCCTTCCCCCTTGGTCGACGACGTCGTGGTCCCCTTGCTGTCCCGTTTCTTGCTGTCGTTCTTCAATAGCGGCGCGGCTTCCGACTGGTCGGCATCTCCTGCACTGTCGGTCGACTTTTTGCGGTTCTGAGATGTTGTCTTCTTTTTTTTCTTATCGACGACAACTTGCTTTAAATCCGTGGCGGAGGTGTTCTCGTCGTCTCCTTCGCTGCTGGCGAAGCATGGACAAGAACTGCAGAACGACATTTTCTCACTTGGTGCAGTACTTCGACCTAAAAGATGCAGACCAAGTATAGATCCCCCGGCTGATGAAACAGAAAATGCAATATCGGTGGTCTACAACTCCTTCCCTATTTGCCTTGACGGACACATTTCTGTTTCACAGTAGGACCAGGAATTGCTAGGAGCCCTTGCAGAAATGAAAAAGAAAACTTGAATCGAAGCACCATCAAAATTTTTCATTTTCTTTTGTCGCCAATAGCAATACAACAACATTTTAGATACGACCACGACATCAAGAACCTCACCATGCTATCGATCTGGCTGACTGTTCTTCGTCCAAGAAGAAGAAAAGTTACGACTATATTACGACAACGATAGATCGATGAAAGCTACGACCCACGATGATGAAGACGATCGACCCAAGGAAGAAGCAGATTCACGAGAAAATACGAACGTGACGAAGCGCCTGCTGGCGTCTGGTGATAGGTCGTATTAACACATATGCTTTTACTTTATCTCACGCATGCTCTTGAAGCTGCTACGTCGAGAAAACAGGTTCATGCTCGTGTAATTCAGTTGGGGATTTCGATTTGCGTTAGGTTCGTTCTCGTTACTCTTGCGATTCATGTTCTTCTGTATCTCTGAGGACATCCTTCTCCTTCTTTCTCACAAAGTTCAGTTCAGTTCAGTTCGACGCATTATCCTGTTTCAGTTAACCGCTCTGAAATTAATCGATTGAATCGTGGATGTGCGTGCACTACTATCATCTTCTTTTCCTTCCAGGGGTGTAAGGCTCGTCTATCGCAACACAAAAGTTCCGTCGTTTTCCCGTACGAACCACACCCCTGCTACGTTCATTTCTTCCTTTCCTGAGTTTTCGCAGAAATAGACGTCACTGACTTCGAAAGCCACCTCTGGGTCCCCTTCCACCTCCCACTGCCCCGGCCTACTCGTTGAAGCTCTCCACTTTTTTCCTGAAAGTTTTTCTACAAGAGCTGCAGCAGCTTCAGCTTGTTCAGCTTTCTGTTGTTCGAGCCGAAGGCGCCTCTCCTCAAGCATTTTCTCCGCCTTTTTCGACCGCTTTCCCCGCTCGGGCCCTTTCTTCTTTTGCTCCCTTCTCCCAGTGGCGTAGGGCCGTCGCCGTGTCAGCGTTTCCCTTGTGGCCGCGCCCGTTGGCTTTTGTGCCACCAAGTCGTCGAGGCTGAAGTTGTAAAACTCGAGGTCTTCTGCGGCTTTGCGGCCCCATGGCGTTTTTTCCTGGATTTCTGTCCTGACACGGGACAAAGAACCCTCCCCGGTTGTGTCCCGTGCTGTGTGTGCGATCCAGGATATCCGTTTTTCCCGAAGCTCTACTTCGATAGCCTGGACCCCAAGCATGCGGCACATCTGGTCGCGGGAAGGCGCGCCCTGCCAATCCCAATAACCGAGGATGTGGCGCAGCGCCTGGGTCTGAAAGCTCCGAAGGATCTTCTCGTCTTCTTCCGAAGTCGCCCAGGTTTCGGCGTTGTACAGGGCGACGCTTAGCGACAACGCGCGGTAGAGCCCTGCCTTGAGGTGTTTCGGTACTTCTTTGTCGCGCCAGATTTTTGTCAACGACTTAACTGTGCTCAGCGCCATCGCGCATCGCCTTTTCGTTTCGGACGTAGTCGTTGCATTCCGGTCGATTTCTGTGCCCAAGTACACAAAACGCTCCACCGTGGCTATTTGCTTCCCACCATGCCATACGTGAACAGGCTCCGCCACCGCTGCCGCCTTTTCGCTTTTCTTCTTTCCCTCTACCTGTCTGGCCACCCGTAGGGTTCTCTGTTCCTGTATGGTTTTGTCCTTGCGGCAGAACCCGGTGGCCAGGTGGTACTTCAGCGCGGTGGCATCCTCCAACACATCGCCGCACCTCGGGCAACGGTGCTGGTTGTGTTTCTCGAGGATGTACTCCCGGCGGCCTAGCCTCGTGATCCGCATGGCCCTGCCGTTGTCGAGCGTGGCCCACCCGGATGCCTTCATCTTGATGATGTTGAGGAGTCCGTTGTCCCACACGGCAAGGTGGGTGGGGACCAAGTCCCCCATCAGCTTCGTTGACACCGCTGCCGCGGCAGCGCGGTATTCTCGAACCAGGTCGATGCCGTCCCATTCCACGAGGAACCCATGGACTGCCTTGACCCCCTCTTCTTCGCTGATCATGCACCGCTCTGTCATCGCAAATTCGTTTTTCCTCTCCCTGCTCTGCTGGTTTACGACCATGACCTCCGTTTTTCCCTTGTCTGGGTTCAGTTCCAGCCCCACAAACCGGCACGCCCCTGCCAGTTCGCGCACTGCGAACTGCGCGTCTTCTTCGTCATTGGCCTTGACCACCAAGTCATCAACAAAACCCAGCAGGCTCATCGCCATGCCCCTAGCCTGAGCAAGACTCCACTTCTTTTCGGCCTCCATTACCCGCGCGAACTGGGTAATTGCAAAGTCCAGGACAATAGCGAAAATCAAGGGGGAAAGAGAGCTCCCCTGCCTGATTCCTGCCCGTTGCTTGATGTCCTTTGTCCACCGATCCCGCGCCAGTCTAATGCAGATTTTTGCGTTGCTATCGTACATGCTGCGCACTACTCGACCGATGTACTCCGGGAGGCCTTGGTGTTTCAGGATCTTGTGCATCACGTCCCACCCCAAGCTGTCGAAGGCTTTGAGGAAGTCCGCAAAGATAAGATACGCCCGGCGCCCTTCCCGTTTGCATTTTTCCATGTCGCGCAGGATCTGGAAGACGCCATGCCGGCAGCTCAGTCCGCGCGTGCACCCTTTTTGCCTTTTGTCGATCGTTGCCGCTGCTTCTTTTTCGATTCGCTTCAAAATTATAAGTCCAAGAAGTTTTTCGCCAAACGTCAGCAAGGCAATCGGCCGGTAGTTTTTTGCCTGGCTCTTGTCCCCTTTCTTGTGGAGCATTGCCAACACCGCCCGGCCCCAGGCTTCGGGGACTTCCTCTCCCCGGAAGACCCGCCGGACTAGTGAAACTACGACGGCACGCGCCAGCGCGCAGTCGCGTATTAGTTCTGCAGGCGCTGCTCCCGCGTAAGCTTTTCCCGCTTTTAGCCCGCGCAAGGCCTCGACCACCTCGGACTCGCTTGGGACCCCTTCCAAACCGTGGCACCATGCTGGTTTGTCGTCTTCCGCTAGTGCCTCGGTGCACTTTGCGTAGCTCTTTGTGCTTTTTGTCTCCTCGGGGGGCTCCGGCCGGGGCTCGCCCAGGATCTGCCCCCAGAAACTGGTCCAGATTTCCGGGCTCCCTGGCAATTCCTGTGCCGGTTTTCTTGATTTCCCCGCAAGCTGCCGCACAACTTCAAACACCTCCCGGGAATTTCCGGCGTTGTCGGCCCGGCGGAGCTCTTCCAGCTTGTCGACCACCCAGGCCTTTTTGTCTTCCTTGATGCACATCCGGATGACCCGGCCAAGCCTGCTGCGCCTCAGCTTGTTTGTCCGCCCCTCCTTTGTCATCAGTCGCTTACGTTCTTCGATTTTTTCCCATGTTGCTGTACTTATCCAGGGCTTGCGGGGGCCTTTCTTTGTCGCTGCTTTTCTGCTGAGCTTGTCTATGGTGGCTACGAGGACTTCTTCGAACTCCCCCCACCACTGGTCTGTGCTCCTATCCCCCGTCTCAATGGCGTGCGGAGTTGCCTCGATGTTATAAACTTTTTCCAGCTCCCTGCTGACCTGCTCCGCTGCTTGCTTGGTTCTGACCCATGCAGCTCCTGTCGTGGGGGCCTTTTCTTTTTTGGCAATCCACATTGCGATTTCAACCACCACCAGTCGGTGGTCGCTGAAGGTATTCGTGTCGCCATGTACCCTGAAACCGTGCGCCCGGGCACGGTGTTTCCAGCTTATGAGGATATGGTCGTACTCCCGCTTGTTGCGCGCCCCCTTCCACTCCCCCTGGAAGGTGAAGCGTCGGGACCATGGTTTTTTACACATCGAAGAAACGTCGACCAACTCTGCCTCCGCGGCGAAGCTCTGGAGTCTGGTCGCGTTGTCCGACTCGTGCGCAAACTTGGAGGTTAGGCCACACGGCCCGACGGTAAACGGAAGCCCAGCTTCTATCAACTCCCACTGTGGGCCGCCAGTAAACTCCGCGTTGAAGTCGCCCACCGCCACTACAACATCCCTACTACTGTGCGCGGCCACCTTCTGCGCGACCCGGTTCCAAAAGAGGTCTTTTGTTTCCCGGTCTGCGGCGTTGGTCGGGGCGTAACATCCGTGCACATGCACTCTCTGGCCCTGTGGCGTTCGTAATGAAATACGCGCGTGGCGGCCCCACTGCTCATCCTCATAACCCACCACTTCTAAGCTTGATCGTATCAAGAATAGAACTCCGCCAACAGCAGCACCTGCGGCGTTTTTCCAAGCTCCGCCTCCATAAAGCACGTACTCATCAAGCTTTTCTCCATTGATCCATTCCGTCACCCGAGATTCTTGTGTTGCCAGCACATCCAACTTCCGCTCTCTAGCATCTCTCAACAAGCACTCCCTCTCCACCGTTCTGGTCCCATCGTCCTCTTGCACCCCCAACGTACGTACATTGAAGGTGCCAACTCGTAAGCTCTTCAGCACTCTAACCCTGCGCCGCTCTCGGGCAGGTTCCTCCCGCCCGGCATGAAGTCTGCTGTCGCCTGCAGCCGGGTTCCTCCCTGCTGCGGGGGCTAAAGCTTGTGCGCTCATCGCGGGGTAGGGGTGTGTTTGGCTCGGTAAAAAGAAACTCTCTCAAAACTCTTCACGGGTGCCCTGAAGTCTCGGCTTCTGGTCGCGAACACACTCAAGGACTCGTCTGCTCCTGTAACGTTCGTCAGCCTTATAAAAGGCGCTTTGCTCAGGGGGAACAAACGCAGCAGGAACTTCTTCTTTTACTTTTTTTTTTTTTTTTTTTTTTTTTTTTTGATAGTAGTGCTTGTGCCTTCAAAAAGCACCGCGGCTGGCAAACCGCGGGCCCGATCAGGTCCTCGTGACCGTCACAAATTCGATCTTGTAAACCACCCGATCAGACTACACCTGCACGCACACTTACTGCAGGATGTCGTCGCGATTGGCAGCAGCACGTCGATCGAACCACAATTCAACTTTCTAAGACATCAGCACTCCTTCCAAATCCAAACTACCGCCTCCTGATATCTTTTCAAGTGCCTCCGTTTTCGATATGGAAAACAAAGAACTTGTCACAACTGCACACCGTTTTCGATATTTCAGGATACGGCGGGGTCGATCGCTGGAGAGGTCTCGTAGCTGTCTTGCAATCAACAGCTCCTGCTTCGTATCGGCCAGTCTGCGCCTCCGTGTTCAGCGATCGGCTGTCCGTTCCTCGATATTACTTTTTAGATATGATCGTCTTCAAGTGAGCCCCCGATGGCGAATCCGCGCTGCAATATCTCCAAAAACACCTTTCTAGCTTTTTATCATACACGGCGAGACTTGCGACGCAGCTTCACCTCCGGTTCGAATTAAGTCCTCGTTTTCAGTTCGGCGAGCAAAAGTAAAAACTACTTCATGATACTCCAACCCTCTCATCAGTAAGGTAGACCAGCATGTACGCGCACCGCTAGTCATCGACTACAAACTACTTGCCTCTCCACACCTAGGTGAACGTCAACTTTTTCCCCTTCACCAAAATCCCGGTCCTCAGAAGGCGATCCACATTGACGCCCGACTTCTTTACCACCTGCGGCTGGGATGGTTTTTCCTCTCGCGCCGTTGTCGAGGACGAGGACGCGCTGGCCGCGGCCCCGGTTCCGGCGCGGTTCTTCTGACTTCCCTTAGCACTACTGCTACTGCTGCTTCCCGCCGTACTGTCAGTTTTCTGCTTTTTTGAGTTTGGGTTCGCGCCTCCCTTGCCGCCCTTCTTGTCCTCGGTGTTCACCGCCTGTGTGCCCGCGGTCGGATCCTTCTGGTCCTTTTCCGCTGCCGCCTGGATTTTTGCCGCCGTTTTCTTCGCTTCCGCGGGGGACCGCGGGTAGTTCTCCCGAACCAGGATCGGTAGGACGTAAATCTTGCACCAATTCTTTTCTTCAGACTGTACTATCGAATTAAGCGCCATAGTCTGCGAGTTTGGCCGCAAGATCAAATCTGCCCAGTCCGTGCTTGCATTTACTGATAAGAACCTGATGTAACAAGGTTCTATCCCCCTGAAAGCTCTCACCATCTTGAGCGCGAGGCGCCGGCAAACCTCTGCCTGCGTCTCGCTATACTTGAGTTCGGGATCCTCTGCAATAGTTATTTTTCCGGTGGCTTCATCCTTCAGCACCTGCAGTCCCGACTCCCCCGACTTTACGATGTTCGCCTTGAGTACCGCAATGATCTCGTGTATGCACTCCCGTTTCCAAAACTTGAGCTTTTCCGGGTGCTTGTGATCAGCGAAATTGGCTACGAACACCTTCCGATCTGCAACATACTGGGCCTCAAGCATAGGAGATGGCTTGCTGGGTTCCTCCTCGTCGTCCTGGTTCGCCCGCTTATTGCTTGAGTACATGTTGACGTCCTCATCTTCGTCTTCCGGGAATGTTACTTGCCGAGCGGTGTTCATTTTTTCGTCTCCATCCTCATCTTGCAGCATCTCCTCCTGCTGTTCCCCCGCGCCGACTTCGCTCCCCGCCTTGGTCATCTTGTCGTGCTCCTCCTGTGCCTCCTGACACCATATGGAGAAAGGACGAAGACCAAATCCCTTGATGGATATAATGTTCAGCGAGCGCAACTCGGACACTTGTTTTTCAATCGCGAGCAAGCGGTTTCCAGGCGTGGCTGTAGGCGTCGTGGCAGCAATCTTCGGCGTGTTTTTCGTACTCCCCTTCTTCCTTCCACGCTTGCTTTTTTGTGCCGCTTCCCCGTTCGACTCGTCGTCTTTCGCCTTCTGCGACTTCTTTGGTTCCTTCGGCTCTGCGGCGCCACCACCGGGATTAGGATTCGGCATGGTTAGTGTTTTTGCAGTTTGCTATACAGTCTGAAAAATCAATACTGGAACGCGAATCAAATCTTAATATTTTGCATACGACTCCCCTGTTAGTGCGGTGATAAAGGACTTGTGGTGGTGCGAAGGTGAATTTGTAGCACGACTTAGTACGATCAACGATTTGCGATTTTCGATTATTTGGCGGTGAGCGAAAAAGCTGAACGATCAGACGATTTAGATTTTCACTCATTGTCACTCTAGTGCGCAAGTACTGCTGTCTGTCCTTACTGATGAGAGAGAGACCTACTCGAAGACAATCACAATCATTTACTTTTAAGTCGGGTAAATCGGGAACATCACTTTGGGGAGGAGTACTGACGGACACATTAAAAACTCTCCCCCCGCACCGGGGTCCGAGCAGTGCGAGGTTCCTTGAGCCTTTCTCACAAAGTAAAAGTATAAGCATTTGCATCTTGAGGATTTCATCCAATTTCTACAAAAGTGAGTAAAACAATCAGAAATGAATAATTCACTTCTGATGGTTCTACGTACACAACGACCCCGTCACTAACACCACGAGCTCCACCCGGCAAACATCACTGCCTGGTTCACTGGGTCCGTTGCTTTCGTCAACAAGTAGTCCAGGAAAGCCGGCACGTCCTTGAACTGGCTCAGCCCGGACTTGCTGTGACAGTCGGTCAAGCTCAACTTGCTCCGTATGCTCTGCAGTGCCTGCTCCCCGCCGGCCGCCGTTTCGCACTCCTGGCGCGCGTTCCACCGCGTGATGGGGTCGTAGAGAAAGACTTCGCACAGGTTTAACAGCAATTCCTCGTGCTGCTGCAGCAGTTCGAACGCGTACTCACATCCTTTCCGAAAGACCCCGTTCTGCAACCCCTGCCACCCGAGCGGGTGCACCAAGTCGCGCGTCATCCGGAAGGGCACCTCCTCGGGAACGGGGAGATTTTTCGCAAAGTCAAAGACCATGCCAAAGTCGATGTGGAGGATCTCGCCGGTTTTCAAATTCATCATGATGTTGTTCACGTGCCGGTCGCCCACGCCCAGAACATACCCGACCATCGAGGTCACCGCCAACGATTTCGCATACGCCGTCAGCGTATCAACTGTAAAAATGTCTGGGTCTGGGAGGATGGAACTTGTGACGCTAGCTTTGGACTCATCTAAAAAAATCTGTATTGCATGACCAGCAAGAGGAGTCTAGGTTGCGCTACGCGGGGAGGGCGTTTGTCATGCGGAGTAGGCATCAGCAAGCACTCTAAAAATCTGTGATGTCAGGTCGCGCATTACAGACATCCTAGGTCATGTAAAACATGCATGACAAATCTCAGAATCTTCCAGACCCAGACATTTTTACACTTGATACAGCGCCTCGTGGTGTTTGACCGCGTTGTGCCCAAATTTCTCGAGAAAGAAGTACTTCAGCGCGTATCAAAGTGAAAAAAGCCCCCACCCCACATCAAAACGAAGTCTGTGATGCTGGATTTGCGTACACAAATCGGATTTGTCTTGCTGGAGAGGACTGCAGGTCCATACTAAGCCTGAGTAGAGAGGTCTTGGGCTAGGCTCTTAGCATGAGAAACGTCTGCGCTGTAGGCCCAACAGCATCACAAACCGCCTGCAGAATGCGGCGGAGCCTGTGGACTTGCCTTCTTGCAAGACAGAGATGATTTGTGGTCGCAAATCAGCATTGCAAATTTTCGGCGACGTATCTTTTCGATATGGGGAGGGGGGATTTTTCCTCACAATAGCGCGGGCTGGAAGTTCTCGCAACACTTCCTGAACGCCGCGATTTTCTTGTCTCGCAAGGCCGGGTCTTGCACAAAACCCGTAAAGTGGCCTTCGTTCATGACCGCGCGACATCGGGCATTTGCCCAATCCTGTGGATTATAGCGCGCATGCCCGCCGCCAGCGTCCTGTTGTTCGAATGCATTTTCTTCTTCGGAATCGAGGGTTTCTTTGTTGAAAAATTTGGACGAAAACTTTTTGGTGTTCCATGCTCATCTTTATGAAATATCCATGGCCATGAGCTGCAATTGAAATAAAAATACGTGTTGCTCAACTAAACTAACAACTTCTGACAATAAACTGAAGCAATACCTGCAGCCAACTTCCGACGGGCATTGTTGGGTCGACCCACTCTATCACGGCCTGTTGCGGTGCGAGCGGTATCACTTTGTAGGTGACCAGGTGCTCGAACACGTTTTTGTTGGTTTTTCCCCCGCCCCCCGGCGCGGCTCTTCCGGCGACGGACTTCAAATGCATGAAAATCTGCTCGAAAATGCAGTCTTGTCGGGCATCGTCGTCGCCCTTGACCAGCAGCTTGTACGCCTTCCCGCTTTCCGCCACCACGATGATGCTGCGCGGCACGGAGACCCCGCTGCCCACCATTTGAAAGGTGTCGGACCACCCCGTGAGCAGGTCCGCTTCACGGTACTGGTAGTGAATGTCCGAGTAAGCGGTCAGGCTCGGCCACCACGTCGCCCACTGCTTGCACTGCTTGTGCGTCTCCGCCTGTACCGCCGACTTGGTGATGGGCATGACCCGTTTTTCGTCCTTCCAGTCTATGCCATTTGGGTGTGGAGGCAGCTCGTGACACAGCTCGATGCACCAGGAAAAGATTTTCTCCAACGCGGTGACGCGGTGGGAAAGCGCGGTTTCCTTGCAGTCTGCTTTAGTCGCTTTTACCGGGAGCTGCTTCGCCTTTCTCGCATCAAACACGTATTTCTCGAGCTTTCTGTGTTCCACCGCTTTACTCTTTTTCGGAAACACGAAAAAGTGGCTCAGGTTGCGCACGTCCGAAAAGTTGTGCTCGGTGCGGAAAAAGTCCAGCTGGTCCTGCCACTCGCGGCGACCGACCGAGGAGTCGGATTTTTTCTGCTGGTACAGCTCGAGCAGCTTGAAGAGAAGGTTCTCGATGTTGCCCGAACCATCTTGTTCATCGCAGCTTTCACTACTGCTATTACTAGAGCCACTTTCATGATCCGGTGGGCTCGTTTTGTTCTTTGCCGTAGCTGCTTTGCCGAGCAAATTTCGCAGCGCACCTACGATGGGGTTCAGACTTGAGGAGGTTGTTCCTGCACCAGAAGAAAAGCTACCGCCCGGTAGTTCTTGGTCTAGAACCCCATGAGCATGATCCATGCTGTTGGGTCCGCTAATAATGTTCTTCCCCCTTGATGTTCCGAGTTCGAAATTTATCTGCGGAGCCAGCGAATTCATTGAAGAAGCGGATCCACCGGATGGCTGCTGCTGTCCGCTGGAGGCTCCGGAAAGTAGTAGCTTGTTGTTATTCACCCCTTGGCCTTGCGGTACTATCGGTGCAATAGTAGACAACTTTTCTGCTCTCCACTTTGACATCATGGACAGAAACGCGTTCGATCTCTTCGCGTCCCCAACCACCAATGCTGCCGCCCGGCGCCGGGCTTCGTTGAAGATTTCCTGGACCGCCTGCGGCACTTTGGTAAACGACGTTCCGGCGTTTAGCTGCAGTTTGCGCTGCTGCGATCTTTTAGTGTGGACAATTAGTTCGGCGTTCTTGTGCAACAAGAGAACCGGAGTGGCCTCGAAAGGGTAGTTGAGCAGAAGCCGCGTGAGCAGCTCCCAAAGCGTTTCTTGAAAGTTCGCGTTCCGGTCCAGCGAGCTGCCTCCAGGGGTGCTGTTTTGCGAAGAATTGTTCCCGGAGGACGAAGATACTGCTCCGTTTTTGCTGCTCGATCCGCTCGCCTCGCTGCTGTGGCTCTTGTTGCTGATATTCCGCTCCATCTTGACGTCTCCGTCGTCCGTCTTGTGTAAAAAGCTCAAACGACAAGCGAGCTGGCGGAGAAAGGGGACGAACGGTTTCAATTTCAGACGGTTTTCAGGCTTCTCATATTCAATCGAGCGCGGGCTTTTCACGAGTCGGTCTGCTGCGCGGGAGGGCGGCATGGCCATGGCTCGTCTGATGCAAGGGGTGGCAATGCTCGGATAATTGAACCAGAGGACGAGCAGCCGCGAGGTGATTAGAGTCAGCCGTTGCAGGTACTTGTTCCGGCTGGCAGAGTGCGGATCCCGATTTCTTTTCGAAATGTTTTCCCTTGAAGATGTTCCTGGTGACTTACTGGCCGACGGCGCACTGTTGTAGAAAGGCGTTCGCTTGACGGCGTACCCGTCGTCGTACAAACACAGAACTTTCAACAACGCTTCCACCGTGTGCTCCACGTACGCTTTTATCGTCTCGTCGAAAGTTTGCGTTCCCCTCAGCGAATCTTGTGCGTGCATAGGGGTCACAAGGTTTCCATGTACATCGTAGTTGTTGCGCTCGTCGCTGAGAATCCGCTGCAGCTGCTCCTTCTGCTTCTTCATCATGACGGCGTTGCTTTCCAACGTCTTCAACGTTTCATCTAAACAGGTTGCGTACTGGATGAACGGCTTCAGGTACAGAAATTGGGCGTCGAAAAACGTTTCCGGGCTTTTTTGGTTGTGCGCTTCCTGGACCCTCAGTGATTCTTCCACCTTTTGCGTCGCCCTTTGCAGCAAAGCCTGGCCGTCTTGCGTCTTGCCGGTCTTGTATCCACAAAAAAACAACCATCCCCATCCATTTCTTGCATGGCAAATTTTGCGTGCAACTCGAACTTTTACTTTTAGTTTTATCTTTATGCAAGTTCTTTAGCATGACAAATTGGATGGCAAGGATGGTTGTTTTTTGCGGATATCTTGTACTGCCATTCACCAAGTCGCATCGTCACCTTCGCGGCAAAGATCTGCAAGCGGAGGTACGAATTCATCTTTTGCACTTTGTGCGCTACAGAAGGAGCAGAAGCAAAACTGGTGCCCCCTCCTGTCAAGGAAACCATTGACACGTCTACCTTTCCCTCCGAGGGGCCCACCACTCTTTCCTGCACCAAATTCGCGAAGCTGCAAACGTGCTCCACGGACTCCGTAATGTGTTTTAAGCACCCCACCGCCTGCGAACGGGAGTTCTCGTGCCACAGACAAGAGGCAATTTGGTACTCACGCTCGAAGTTCGAGCGCACCAGGTCCACCATCTCACGAAAGGGCGGGAGGTCTAGGGGCGGGCGCAAGTTACTGCTTGATAAGGCGGAGTTATGCCCCGCTGCCGCGCCACCTCGGGATGAAGATGAAGCTGTTTGCCTTTCTTGTGCGTCCTGCTTCAGAATCCTGCTTATCCTGCTGATCGTTTGGTTCAGGTATTTCACATTTTCCAGATTCGCCTCGGCTGTGTCGAGCGCCGACGCTGATGTCGCAGGACCGCCGACGTGTATCAAACTACAACTCGAAGCCGTGCTGACACTTGCTAACACATTAATCGCCGACTCAGGCTTTCTCCTGACGGATCGTAGAAATTTTCCATGCAGCAACGCGGATTTGTTCGCGGCCTCCCACGTCTTTTGGAGAATCTTCAGACCACTGCGCTTTTTCTCCGCGGTAGCGAAGGCTCTTTTGTCTTCCACACGCACCCCATATTCCGCCGCGCCGCCAAAGAGGGTTTTCAGGTCGAGCACGTGCGAGGTGTCGCCACAACCTGCGGACAAGTACGCTTTGTTCCGCGACTTCAGCGTCAGAGCGCGGCGGACCTCCAGCAGCGGCTCGATGGTGCCGCTGGACCAGATGGAATGTGGGTATTTGATATTCGACGAGATGAATTCATCGGGTGTTGTAGTTGAGCCCGGAAAATTAACTGAAGAGGAAGTAGTAAACGACGGGGCAGTAGGCGCACTGTTCTCCGAAGACGATGTCAACTTCGCACTAAAGCTCGCGGCTGCAGATGTGGAGGAGAGCACCTCCACGTTCTCTGAGTCTCGCAGAATGTAATCGGCATAGTTTGCAGCTGCAGCTACTTGCTTTTGTGTCTGTGCTTGCTTGTTGGGAGGTCCACGAGGACCCTGGCGCCCTGCTGCACCCGTAGATGGGCCGGACGCCATATATGATCGGACGTCTGCAGCAATCTGTGCCTGCACAGCACCCTGCGGAAACGAAGCGCTGCCGCGAGCCAACTCCGTGTGCGTGAAGCGCAGCGCTGTTTTGACGCACTCATCGGACCCTTCTTGCAAAGCGGAAAGCAATGCTGTGTGGAAACCGACAATTCTGGATGCGGCTTTTATTTTTCGCGGCTGATGATGTGGTCCACCACCGCCTTCTGCTTTTAAATTGCTCTGGTTCATCGACAAGCTGACGTCGAGGTGTGATGTCATCTCTGCGGGAGAGTCGGGCAAAAGTGGCGAGTTTATTTGTTCTCGATGCGAGAAATCAGAAACGCCGAATTCTCCCAAATCTTGCCATTGACCAAGCTCGAGAAACGTCTTTGCCTGCCGCTCTTTGTAATCTGAGAGAAAAGTATTTGTGCTAGTACCGTGGTTTGTCAGCGCGCCTGATCTGACGCCACGATTAGGATCTAGATGTTGGTCTTCATTCTGCAAGAGAAGCGCACAAGCTCCAAGTCCAGCGTTTGTCAATGCCGCTTCCGTTGCGTTTCGCAGGCTCGCAAGAAAATTGTTACTCTGGAAATCAGCGCCACTGCTTCCTGACGAGCCAAAGATGTCCGGGCGATTTAATACCGACGAAAAAGATGACGTTGATCCCCCTGCAGCCGCACTGGAAATCGCGCTGGTCAGAATCTGCTCTAAGCTTCCACAGTGTGGTAAAACCAAGGCTCTGGTCTGCAGTACAGATGCGATGGACCCGGTGCCTATTTGGTGCAGATGAGTTAAGGGCATGTCCAACTTCTTGCTGACTTTTGCGAAAACAGCAAGCCTCTTTGCGCTCGTTGAGGCCAAGTGTAGCTTTGCCTGCTCTTTCTTCATGGTCATCTCCTCTTCTTCGTCATCCGGACTGCTCATGTCCGGACGTAAAGAGGCCCGGTCGTGAGCCTTTTCGCACAGCAACACCTCCAATTCAACATAGCCCAAAGCTTCCTCCGCCTCGTCGATGTACAAGCACAGTTCGGCCAGGTTGAGAAACGCACTTCCAGAACCTCGGCGGGCTGCTGCTGACGATTTGTTTCCTTTCCACGGTAGATCTGGCTTCTGCACCAGAAGGCTGAGAAAGATGCCCGAGTTCGCAAGCGCGCCAGCCCCTGGAGGTTTCATGACGTCGGAACCAATATCTTCTTCGGTAAGCATTCTGCGCACGTCCTTCATCGCAGAAACAACGAGATCAGTCAGCGCCTCGAGAAAATCTTTTCGCAGAAACAACCCGTTTTTGCCACCCTGTGAAAAACTAGACGTTGTTTTTGGCGCTCTTTCTGCTGCGTGAGTATCGAAGCTAGCGTGAAAATTCGCTGCAGGTACTGTAGCCGAAACATGCTCCATCGCTTCGCACAATCTCTGGAAAATCCCCGCCCACAACCTCTCGCGACACGAACTGAAAACAAACGGAAAAGCTCCTAACGCGAAGTCGCAATCGTGAAGCGCTAGGAGATAGGCGTGCTCAGCTCCGGGCAAGATGCTCAGGTTTGGTTGCTCCTGCTTTTTGTTCATCTGCGTGGCGCTCTGCGCCTGGGCCTTACCGATTTCGTGCAGCGCGGCGCCAACGAAGAGCCGTACCCAGAGCGAAAAACTGTCCTCTTCATGCCGTGGTTCCTCAGAGGTACTGTCATCTCCACAGGAACAACAAGCGGCCAAAACATCTGGATCTAAGAAACCCTCCCAGAGCTGAAGTAACCGCTCGAGCAAGTGGGAGTACAGGGGTGAGGATGCCTGCGCGTTGGCACCATGCTGGGACACCGAGTCATATGATGCCGCGCTAGAAGAGTTTGCACTTCTTGCCGATTCTTGGTTTGTTTCCACTGGCGGCATCGAACTGGACCCAAACAACCTTTCCATTTCGCCACTCATGCCTTCGCCACAACTCATGCTCGCTACAGTGGCCTCAAATTGCGCAGAGGAGCTACCGGTGGGGTCTGCGACCGCTGCTTTCGGCACTGCCCTGCCTTTGTTCCCTGCAGTCTCCAGCGACTGGCTTTCTTTTCCTGACGGGAACAAGCCGCTGCGAGGTGCACGGACATCAACTCGATTTTGATGCAGGTTGTCACCTTCTCCTCCTGAACCGTCTACGCCAAACAGCTTCTGTTCTTCCAACAATGCCCGCAGTGTCGCATTTCCCATTGCCATCCGCACGGCCGGGCTGTTCTTCGCTGAAAAAGCGGCTGGGAAAAAACCCGGTAAAGTCGCACTCGCCCACTGCGGAATAGTTCTGGACTCCAGTTTTTTGCTATCGTCGAGGCACAATTCGAGCGTCTCGTCGGAAAGCAAGTCGTGATCTTCGTTTTCTTCGTTTACAAAAGCTGAAACGAAATCTTTCGCGCGCGTTGTCATGGCCGAAATCGAGTTCCTTCTTGCCGCTACTATGGCCTTTTTATTGTTTCCACTCTGATGAAGAGGTGCGGCCATCAGCGCCGGCACAGTACCTGCTTCAGCAGCAACCTTTCCCTCTACAGGAAAGTAACAGTCCAGGGGCTCGAAGCAGCCCGCATATGAAAGTGTCAGAATCGAAATCGACAAAATCGAAATTCGAAAAACTTGTAATGCATAAGATGTAGGGCACGTATGGTCTGTGTTGGGGAGCAGGCAAACGAGACTGATTGCAAGCCTGTTTATGGGAAGACGATGTGCTGCCAGAGTAGCATGACAGGCGCAGTCTTCTTTGCCCAAACAGCATCACAGACTCTATTTTGGTGCTCCCGAAATTTGTCATGCGCCGCTTGAAAACTGAAGCTCAAACTGGTATCGATTTTATGCATCACAAATTGTTTCGATTTTGTTGATTTCAATCCTGACACTCCCATACCGCAGTTGTCGGAGTTATTCCCTTCTTGTGCCGAACGTAGACCGCTGGGTCGGCTTTCGCGTCTCCGAATCGCAGCAGCTTCTTGTGCAGAAAAACCGACGCGTGATCGAAGTCGGACGATGTTGGTTTAATATTTGATACACCCCTACTTCGTAAGGCGCTTTCCACCTGCAGTGCCAGCATCCGCAGCTCGCGGACTGGGTGGGCAACGAGGGTTTGGAGGTGCAAAAGCTGAAACACGAGGAAGCGGCGCTTTCCGAGGTTGCTTGCGCTCAGGATTTGGTTGTTCTGCACGGTAAGGCGATTTTTGCTTTCGTCGGTCCGCGTGGACCAGTCGTGCTCCAAATAAGGCAAAAGTTCGTCGTATTGCCGCAGAATCGCTGGATCCCAAAGGAACTCGTACCGATTCATTCTATTGCGTTTTCTGGTATAATCGTCCTGAAGCATACGCATACCGGATTTGTATCCTTTCGAGATTGCGATAGGCCCTTCGGAGAGATATTCGGCGAACGTAGCTGCTTGGGTAGTACCTGCTCCAGATCCAGATGGACTTTCGTCGTCCCTGGCTTGATCTACTTCCAACTCTCCACATAAGTTGCTCCAGTCGGCTACGTCAATGAACCTCAAGCACTGCGGCCGCCCGGTTTCCTTCGCGAGCTGCAGAAGCTTCTCGCAAGGAACGAGGGGCTGGTAGGGGTCCTGCTCTTCGCCATGTGGATTGTTGACTTCTTCCCCGGAACTTCCAACCCTGCCACGAGCAGCTCCTCCAACACCAACCATTCCTTGGAGGTCACCCGACGACATTCCAGCCATCGGCGGCGAAGCAGGCCCACCGGAATAGCTCTGCGTCTGCATCCGGCTTTCCTGTTCGTGAATAAAACTCCTAAGCGGGTCGACGACATGCACCGATTGAGACATGGCCACAGCTGCGGCATTTATTCCGCTGCTCTCGGTTGACAGTTTCCGCAACTTTTGCGGATGTTGTTGATGACCAAATCCACCCGCCGACTCGGAGTCTTCAAAGTTCAACCGTTTTTTCACGCCACTGGCAGTGCTGTTGTTGTTTTCCATCATTTCTACGTCCATATTGTTGTCACCGCCTTCATTTCGATTTCCATTTCCACCGAGCATACTGCTTCTTCGCCTTTTTTCCCGCTCAATCGCTTCGTGCTCAATCCGCCAGCTGTCCCCGAGATGCGGTAACAACTGCTCGATTGTGCCCCGGTCGTTGATCTGCTTGCAATAGTCGAAGTCGTGAAGTTCTGAGGCGCAAAGGCCCAAGATACTCGTGTACGCCCACGCGTTGGGTGCCAAGTGATCTTGGACACTCTCGATGACCTGTTGGGACGCGGGGACAAAGTCCAATAAACGACGGGTAATTTCTGTCTTCAGCCGAAACTTCTGGTACCGCTTGCTGTTGCTGGGTACGAAGATGTTGCCAACATCGTTGTTCATCGAGGAAGACGAGGAGCCTCCAACACCAACTCGAGCGCCGGATGTTGTTGAAGCTGCAACTACTTGCACGTCGTCAAGTGCAGACGAGAAGTTTTCCCGAATTGTTCCAAGCAGCTCCTTCACCTTTTTCGTTTCAAAAGAAGCCGCAGGTTGTTTTGTCCCACCACCACCGTCTGTACTAGCACCATTGCCTAACAAACTAACCACATTCCTGATCGCGACCCCGGTGGGCTGGAGAAAAATTTCAGGGCGCGATTTGATCAATTGATGAACCGCTGGGAAGCATTTTTTGAATTTCACTTTCGTTGTGCTGCCAGACGTCGTTTTATTCGGTGGAATCAGCCCCGTGGTCCGGAGTAGCATCCCGACAAGAGAGCGGACGGCTTGCTCTTCGACGGTAATGGTATTGTGTTGCAAGAGCGCTGCGCAGCACACGTCGACAACTTCGAGGTGAAAGGAACGAAATCTGGTGTTGCTAAAGGTTGTCGCGCCGCTGGTGCTCCTGTGGTCGTCAGTAGAGCTGCTACTTGCGGGGGCACGAGGACCCCGATGCATCTCATCTTCAAGGTGATACAGTGGCAACGCTGGCAGTCCAAACACGGGTTCCAAAAACTCCACCAACAAGCGGAAATCGGTCAACAACATTGCCCCCCACACTGTCCGCCATTGCCTGACCGCCTGCGGATCGTCTTTCAACTTGGCCGGCAAGATATCAACTGTAAAAATGTCTCGGTCTGGAAGAATTCACGTTTGTCATGCTTGTCTGGCATGACTCTTAAATCTGTCATGCACGTTACCCAAGAGCTCCGTTTTTCTGTGATGCTGAAGCGCAGTTTGTCATGCAGAATAGGCAACAGCTAGGAGCTCAGAAACTTGTCATGCTGAGCCAGCATTTGTAGCCTCGTCATGAGACGCCACCCAGCATCACAAGTTAGTTTCCAGACCCAGACACTTTTACTTTTGATACAAGGACTGGAAGCTTCCGAAGCCCCTCTTGAAGTTCACAGGCAACGAATCTGCTGTCTTGGTCTTATGGAAGCGTCAGAATCGAAATCGACAAAATCGAAAAATTTGCAATGCATAAAATGTAGGGCACGTGAGGCCTGTATTGGGGAGCAGGCAAATGAGACCGATTGCAAGGCTGTTTAGGGGTATGCAATGTGCTGCCAGAGTAGCATGACAGGAGCAATCTTCCTTGCCCAAACAGCATGACAGACTGGATTTGGGTGCTTCCGAAATTTGTCATGTGCCGCTTGGAAACTGAGGCTCCAACTGGCATCAATTTTGTGCATCACAAATTTTTCGATTTTGTCAATTTCGATTCTGACACTTCCATAAGTCTCTTCATCAGCATAAGCTGTGACAAGCAGCTCTAGAACAAAGGGTAAGTAGCAAATCAAGTCCTTTCCGATACTCTCGATCGACAAGAGATCTGAAAGCTTTTCTTTTCGGGTTCTTCTTCTTCGTGCTCCAGAGGCTGGTGCATATCCTTGCGGCCCCGCATTTGAGAATCGCTTGTTCTTGGACGCAGACCAGCTTTTTCTACTTTTCGCTGCTCCTACTGCTGCTGCTGCTTCTGCACCTCCTCCGCCGCCGGTAGAAGTTGCACTGCTTATTTCCTCCGCAGTTGCTGTGTTGACAAAAACACAATCCACCGGCGGCAGCATCTGGGCTACCTCGCTGTCTCGGTGGTAGAAGAGCTTTAAGCGGAAATACCAGGCAAAAACTACCGGCCGACACGCCAGCGTCGAGAAAGGGGCGAGCACGTTTTTCACGAAACTTGATTTACTGCAATCTGCCAGTTTTGCGAAAAAGTCGTCGAGCCGCTTTTTGGTAATTTTGGTCGCAAAGTGTGCAAGATGTTGCCTCGCGAGGCCGCCTGTTCCGCCGAGAAGCGTGAGTGCCGCGGCCACGTAGCGGCCGAAGGATTCCTGGAAAGTTGTGATTCTTTTTCTTTTGTGGGTACTCGTACTTGGGTTGTGTGGTTTTGCTTGTGTTTCGTGCAATTGCAATTCCTCCATTTCTGCTGGGCTTAACACGTGCCAACCCGGGTTCAGAAGCGAAGTGGGGATTGCAGCTGCTCCCGCGGACGCGGCTGGCGCTTTTTGATCTTGATTTCCATCATTATCTTCCTGCAGCAAGCACACCGCTGGGCCAGCAAGGTTTTCCCGATTTCGCAGGCGTGTTGTGACGTCTTCATCTCCTTGCAGGAGCCCCGTATCTTGATCATTTGTTCCGCTGCACATGTCAAAAAGTGTCTTACCGTACCCAACGATGCTCTGGTCGTTGTACAAACATAGGTATTTTGCAATGTAGAAATCTGGAATGAAACCCGTCGCCCTTAGCTTCTCAAACGGAAACGGCTTGTCGGGCATCATCGCCCGCCAGTAGCTGTAGAGCTCGATTACGTGTTGAGCCGTGAGCCAGGATGCTGCGCTTCTGATATTATTTCTACCTCCGAACGCAGAAGTGGATGTAGACCCTGCTTCATTTAGCTCCGCCTGCTGCCTGTGCACAAAGGCGCTTCCTAGCCGCACCGCTTCTGCAGTGGTCGCTGAAGGCGGGAGGTCCAGCAAACTACAAGCCGCGTCGCTATCATTCGATTTTATTGGCCCTGATCCAGGTCCAACCGGAGGACCAATGACAGCATTCCTGATCGCATCGCAGACTTGGTACCACCGGGACCACTGGTGGAACTTATCGGCCACAATCAGCATGCTGGCGAGACACCGTATTCTTCCGGGCCCAGACCCGTGGAGAACTAGACAGGTCAACGCCGCCCAGGGCGTGCAGTCGTTCCTATCCAACC